TATGAAGACTATAGTCAGCTGGGTCGACATCTACAAAATGGTCATCAGTCGAATTCAATGCAGAATGGAGGTATTCAAAGTGTAGGGCCTAGCGGGAATCATATATACAACATAGGGGCGTCATCTGGAATGGGAGACGTTTACGGGAGCGGGCAGGTGGGGAATATCACATTTCCCATTACTGCTCCTAACCCCGAAAATGGGACATTAAATTCATCTGCAAGACCAAATGCCGGTCGTAAAAAGAGCTCATCATTCGTCACCAATTGGGCTACCCCTCCCAGGGTTCTGCTGGTTGAAGATGATCCCACATGCGCACGGATTGGAACCAAGTTTCTTCAGACTGCACAGTGCGGGGTTGATATGGCGGTCAGATTCTCCCTTTTGCTACCAATCATAGATGGTTTTTCTTGACGGTTTTATGAAGATCAAGCTCTCAGTCGAGACAGGCTCTTACTATTTCAGTCATTATCAAGACCTTATGTTCTCTCTACATTATTACAATGATTGAAAAGCTGACAACCAATTCAGACTGATGGGATAGGCGCCGTAAAGAAGCTTAATAGCGGTAGATATGATTTAGTGCTCATGGATATTGTCATGCCACATTTGGACGGGGTATCAGCAGCCGCATTAATCAGACAATTTGACAAAGACACACCTATCATCGCTATGACATCGAACATTCGACGTGACGATATACAGACTTATTTTAACAATGGTAAGTTCTAAATCCACCCAGGACCATAGTGAAAAAATTAGTTGACTCTTTAGGTATGAATGATGTCTTGCCAAAACCTTTCACAAAAGAGGGACTATTGAAACTGCTGGAAAGATGCCTAAGTCATCTTAAAGTAAACAAAAACACGGGGCAAATACCGCATCAGTTGAGTTTCAACGGACCTGACAATGATAACGGCGGGCCATTGGTTAAACCGACAAACTCATCGAAATACTCTCATTCGCCTTCTAAATCCCCTCCTAACCCTACCATATATGGGCGCTCGCCTAACGATATTGATGAAGATCCGATCGGAGAAGCGGCATCTGCCTTAGACAACTCATACCTCAACATGATGGGCCCATATGTGGACAATAATAATACTCACGACCAAGCAAGCAACTACTCCTCGCCAGCCAATTCTTCACGTGGCCTTCGGCGTGGGGCTTCTGAGATGGATGATCATCCATCTCATCTAGGCGGGATTGATATCAAAAAGGCACGATACCTGCCATGAAACGTATTCACTATTCGTTAACTCGCCACCCGCCTTTGTTTAGTTAAAACCGCGACTCAGTTGATTTCGTAGAATCGATTCAGCTTTGTTTTGTTCTCTTGTTTATTTTGCAGCATATACTCACTTAATTCTGATGGGATGCTTTTCTGGGATCGGATATGGCGTGGGTGGTTTTTATCTCATTTCATTCTGTTTATTTTTGACTACTAGTGTCTTGGATTCTGTCTTTTCAAGTTTTGGGGTGTTTACCAAAACGTTGGCAAGTGTGCAATTCCCAACTTTATTACAATCCTTCGTGATCGACAAGATTTTCTTCGGGCTAGATATTACTCCTGCATCTGTACATGTAATTTTTCTTTTCATATTACTCATTGTTTGTACGGGGTTAGGTGTCGTTTCTTTGGTGTTAGGGCCTGAATAGAGAGCGCCTGCACAAGTGCTTCCAATGTCGATGATGAGTCTGGAAAACATTCCATGGCGAGGCCACACCACCTTTCTTCTTTCCATTTTTACCTCAGTCCTTATTTCTCTATGTACATTACGTTTCATGACGATAATGCAGTATATTGGTTGGATGCTCATGTTTGCCCTACCTTGGGAAATATAAGTCCCTTGGGTAATTCTTACTACTCACATGAGTCACAAGAACGTCTATTATGTATGTACATGTAGGTATGCAGAGTACCTGGCTAACTAAACACATGTCTATAGTACGCTATTGTACCTATGCATCTTCAGAGTCATTCTACCGTAAGCCACTTAATGACCAGGTGTGTTGTAGGCAGCTGCAGCTGCAGCTGCAGCCTCCACAGCCACAACCAGAAATGTAGGTAGCAATTGCTGTACGGTGCTCTTTCAGGATCCGAACCTCATTACTGTTCTACTATCTACTCTTACCCCCCCCCCCCCCTCTCTCTCCTCCTTGTGCCCCGATTTTTCCCCTCTTCCATCTCATCCCCATCCACTTTACATACCCCTCCTCACTTCTGAATCTCCACCTCATTACTCTCTCTCAACGCCCCCCTTTCCCATCGTTTTTACTACTTACTCGCTTACCCCTCCTACGTGCCTTCCTTCCACTTCTTCCGTGCTATTCCGTGCAGATATAAGTGGTGTCGTTGTTTGGCCAGAGATCCAAGCAACGAGCCTCTGCCCCTTTAGTCATCACCACGGTTGCCTCCGCTAAAAAACGGAAGGCAGCAGAGCAGACTGAACCGGACTCCAGCCCGGTCTCAAAAAGATTAAATCTTATCGGCCCATCGACTCCCACTGCGTCTTATACAATGTCCAGCGACGATGAGCTTATGTCTGACCAGATGTCTGATGCGTATGGTGACGATGACGAGGATAGCTTAGGCGAGCTAGGTATGCGACGGATAATAGCTTTCGAGTTATAAGATCTCTGTGGCTCTCAGGGCTGACTTAATCTTTTGTTGCACAGATTATGAGGAAGATGGCGGTGAATACATTGACGAAGGAAAAGAGGAAAAACCAACGAAAAGGTCCTACGAGGTTGAATTTAAAGTATACTCTGACGATCAAATTCGGAAGAGCCAGCAAAACCAGGTCGAGGAGGTAGCAAGCATACTCGGACTACCTGGGGAACAGGTCGCAATTTTGTTACGCCACTTCAAATGGCAGAAGGACCGCCTTATTGAGAAATACATGGACAGTGGTGAGGAAGTACTTGAAGAAGCTGGTCTGGGTCCAAGTTATGATACACCACCAAAGCTAGAGACGGTCCAAGGCTTCGTGTGTGATATTTGTTGTGACGATGAAGTTGGGCTAGATACTTACGCGATGAGATGCAACCATCGGTATTGTGTGAACTGCTACCGGCAGTATCTAGAATCAAAAATAAAGGACGAAGGGGAGGCAACTCGTATACAGTGCCCATCCGAGGGTTGCTCCATGATAGTGGACTCAAAGACGGTAGACCTATTGGTTCCCGTAGAGATAGATAAAAGGTTCGTTTACTTCATGAAGCTTATCTCTACGCTTTCAGGTCGAACATTGGCTCACGGGGTTATAGATATAAGGAGCTATTGAATAGGACTTATGTAGACGATAAGCCCAACCTTCGTTGGTGCCCAGCGCCCAACTGCGAATACGCTGTGGACTGCGCAATACGACCAGTCCAGCTTCACACTATAGTTCCGTCTGTCAACTGTCGATGTGGCCACAATTTTTGCTTTGGGTGTGGATTTTCCGAACATCAGCCCTGTCCCTGCGCACTTGTCAAAAAGTGGTTGAAGAAGTGTGAGGATGATTCGGAGACTGCGAACTGGATTTCTGCAAATACTAAAGAGTGTCCCAAATGTGTCTCTACGATTGAGAAGAACGGGGGATGTAATCATATGACCTGGTGAGTTCATCGAACCTCAACGCCACTTCACAACTAACAAATCTCAAAATACAGTCGAAAATGCAAGCACGAATTTTGCTGGGTCTGTATGGGGCCCTGGGCAGAACACGGAACGAGCTGGTACAACTGCAATCGATTTGAGGAAAAGAGCGGCTCGGAAGCCCGTGACCAACAAGCAAAATCGCGTGCTTCGTTAGAGCGATATCTTCATGTAAGCTCTGATTAGTGCTTTGGTTTTAGTAGTCCAGTGTGGTATACTGACTCCATAATTAGTACTACAATCGCTATGCCAACCACGATCTTTCAGCGAAACTAGACAAGGATCTTTACATTAAGACGGAAAAGAAAATGACAACACTCCAGTCTTCTTCCGGAATGTCATGGATCGAAGTTCAATATCTTGAAGCAGCATCCAAAGTTCTACAACAGTGCCGACAAACCCTAAAATGGACCTATGCTTTTGCGTTTTACCTTGAAAGAAACAACCACACCTACATCTTCGAGGATAATCAGAAAGATTTGGAAATGGCCGTTGAACACCTAAGTGAGCTCTTCGAGAAGCCGACAGATCAACTTTCAACCGCCAAAAATGATATGCTTGACAAGACGGCATACGTCAAGAGTAGGCGCATGATCCTGCTTGACTACACCGCCAAAAGCTTGGCGGCGGAAGAGTAAATTCCCTTCCTGAGCTTTCAAGAGAGTAGTAAGACTAATTCGGCAATTAGGTGGAAATTCTCTGTTGATCTGAAATAGTAACATTTATTTTCTTCTCCGGATAGAGCTAGGAATGATGCCTTGAAACATCTCGCCTGTTTCTTCGTATTATATTCTGATTTTCTACTTCTGAATCGAACCACGATTTCATAAAGCGTGATAATAACATGTGGGAATCATCGGTTTCCTCACTTATTTCTCTTTTCTCTTCTCTTCTTTTTAGGGTCTGGATTCTCTTGTGTCGTTTTTTTGCATCTATTTTCTCTTTTTTCTTATCTCATTGGTCATTGGTATTCGGTGGTGTCTTGATTTCATTCTGCTAGCATGGATATGATTGATGAGGTACAATCAATATTTTTTTTTTTTGTGGCAAGCAGTTTGAAATTATAGTTATTTTATCTATTCCGCTAGGGTTTTACACAGAACTCATTTTTATCCGTATTCTGTATACTCGCCCGGTGTATGCGCCTTCCTGATTTAGTATTCAGTTGAAGATTCAAATGTTAAGCAGGTGTTGAGAAAAATATAAAGTGTGGCATTCTTTAAGTGAACTTTCGTTCTAGAAGGTGGCGGCTCTGCGGAACGATCCCTTGGCTAATACCCACGTGCAAAATATCCAGACAACGCGTCTAGCTTTCATGGCCTATCGTCAGCTCTGGAAAGTCAAAACTTACATACCAATGGCTTCTTCCATGTATACCAACCAAGGCGGACCAGCTATCAATGGGAGCCATGCGATGGTTGGTTTCAGCAGAACCTCCGAGCATACTCTCAGTAATCTCTCCCGTTGGAGTATTCAGAATAAGTCGCTACCCAGACCAGACACCATCAAGACCATCCATGTCTATGATTTTGATAACACACGTAAATAAGTCTTTCATTCTTTGTACATGGCACGGTGAAGCAAGCAGCTAATGTTCTTTAATACAATCCCCGCAGTGTTCATGAGCCCTCTCCCGAATACAAGAATATGGACCTCGCCCACACTTGGTCTTTTACAGCGGCAAGGGTGCTTCATGAGTGGAGGTTTGAGGCCCGGTTTCACAGAAAAAAAGAACATCTCTTCGGTCCGAAGATAAATTTCAAAGAATACTCGTTAATCCATTTTTTTAGGATGGTGGCACGACTCACGTTTCCTGGCTGCCACTGGTAAAGGTCTCTCGATTGAAGAGGATCTTGCATGGGAAGGCTGGTGGAACGAACCAATTGTCGACCTTGTAGAGCTTTCAAGAAAACAAAATGACGCTCTCACAATTTTACTTACCGGCCGTTCAGTCAGCGGCTTCTCAGATCTTATCCAACGAATGGTCGCAAGTAAAGGACTGGATTTCGACATAATTGCTCTCAAACCAGGAACTGGTCCAAATTTGGAACATATCAGAAGCACAATACTTTTCAAGTGTATGTTCTTAGAAGATGTTCTCAATACATACCACGGTGTCGAAGAGATTAGGTAAACCAAATTTCTAGACGGATCATATACCTCACCTGGCTAACACGAACGTTCCCTTTGAGGGGAAATTAACAATTTAAGAGTTTATGAAGATAGAGTAAAACACGTTAGATCTTTTGAGGAATTCTTCGCTCAATATATATTGACAAGCCCAAGGGGCCCTGGGGAGAAGCCGTTAGTAGCGGAAGTGATCCAAGTTGCTGAAATAGCTGTAACTGCTGCCCTCACCGTCCTCGAGAGATATTGATATTAATGAGAGTGGCCTTCTATCTTATAGAAAACGCTTGACCCTGTAGCCGAGCTTACCATTATGCAAAAAGTCATTGACGATCACAACACTATCTTGGAGCCAGGCGTTCCCCCCTACAGATCAAGAAGAATGTCTTTTATACAGGTGAGTCTAGTAGCCCGCCATCTTGATATGATTGCTAAAACAACCCACTTCTTTACCTTCGGCCTAAGGTTATCTCCTATCGCCGTCTACAACATCGAATCTACTAAAAAATCTACCTCTTGCCAACGAGCCGGGAATGAAATTTCTGGCCAATAATATCCTTATCACACCCAGGCCAGCAAATCAACAAATTCTTTCAAGAGTTGGAGGAATAGGTAATAAAGTCGATTTCGATGTTTTTGAGTGGGGATGTTGGGAAAATAAAGTATGGGCTGCGCGTGTAAGACCTTCTGATCGTGATATACCGATCTATACTGGTATGCGTCAGCCTATTCCTGTGTGGATATCCGATACTAAACTACATATGCCAGAGAGTTCAACACCAATCATCGTTTTGGCTTTACGCGGCTGGGATGCTAGGCCCGCTGATACCCAAAAGATTACAAACTGGCAGCCACTCCCCGAAAACCAGGTGCTAAGGATAAGCACAATCGTCGGAGAAAAATTGCTGCTTCGAATCGAGGAGAACACTCCAGAAGGCGAGTAGAAATCGCTCTTTTCCCAGTTGGAATTGGAACCTAGGGGCCCAGCAGCCACCGAGATAAGGGACACATCCACATAAAATTATAAATATATCCCAACTCTTTTTTTGCATGAAAACTTACATTTTAGGAGCCTAATTCGGGCGAAGATTTCAAATATAAAGCCGATAACTATAGATCATTCCACCATCAATCAAGGCGTGGGGTACCCAGCCGCCACATCGGTTCCAATCGTGGCGGAAGGGGTCATAGAGGTAAGGGGCAGGGTGGGCGGGGTGGTGGAGGAGGAGGCGGCAGGATTCACCATGGAGGTTTCTCGCGACCCTTTAATGCCCAAGACATGTCCTTTATGACTGAGCTCTACGAATAATGTCTCATAGATCATATTGCGAAGCGTGGATTCTGTTGGGAAGCACTGCTTTTTTCTTTTCCTCTCTTTTCTTTCTTTCTTTTTTTCCTTCTCCCCCCTCTTCTTACCTCTACCCTACCCTACATAGTAACTGGGGGGTTCTCTTCTTTTTTTCTCTCAAAATTTCCTTTTCACCGGTTGATTTCAACCTTTAAATATCTCACCCTGGGCGCGTAGATTCTCAAACTGAAAAATCCATGACAGATAGACAACAGTTGTCTTCTAAATAGAAAGGTTTGTGAAAAGCTCTACTTATCGAGAAGAAAGAGGGATAGTAATCTATCAACAGAAAATACACCAAAGCAATTGTTTTTTCAAATCCGCCTTTGTGCAAATAAAGCTCATCTTTAGAATTTAATGTAAAGAATGTGGCGATACATGGTGATACAGACCGATTTACACGCTGAAGGGATAATAAAACCAAAAAAAAAAAAAAAAAAAAAAACTCAAGTAGGGGATGGACAAGAAATATGTTAGTACAGTTTATCACGAAGCTAGAAGTTTAATGTAGTAAAAACGTTTATAACCAACTGAAACCAAAGGGAAAGAGGAAGAACAAAGAGAAAAAGAAAAAAAGAGAAGAGAAAAAAACATTGACCTGAAGTTCATCCATAAAATCAAATCAACTTCTCGCTCTCTCCGTTCAGCTCCATGAATCCTGCAACCTTCAGCAGTTGTGAATAGAAGGCCTCGGTGTTTTCCTTTGTGACGAGTTCCTCGGGTGTTAGCTTTGGGCTTGCCGTCCGATGCGGCATGCGGACCTCCACCATGAGCTGTCTACTAGGTGTATCTGGCATGACCTCTTCCTTCTTCTTCTTTCTCGGGGTGTCTGGCGGGGTTGCAGCGAATGCTGCGCTTTCGTTGGCCTTTTTGAAAAAGTATAAATCGGTTTGATATCTGATCCACTTTGCAAGATGTCGAATGTTACTGGCACCCTCGACGGCATACCATATCCGCGCTTTGGCAATTTCCTCATCATCCTCTTCGGGGGCGTCAGGGAGGGAGGAAGCATCGTCAAGTGGGTTCGCGGGCTCATCGGATGGTAAAGTACCAGACGGGTGGGGAAGCGTAGGGTTTTTCTGGACAACAATCCATTGACCCCAATCTTCTTCACGCTTGTCACGCTGGGTAAATAGCCAATAGGTATTACCCTTGATATCGATTCCCAGAGGGGTGTTTCTAGCTGACGTTTTTCGGGAAGAGAACCTACGATGGGCCAGAAAAAGTTAGGTTTTTGTTCGTTTTCTCCACAAGGGGCCTGGTAAGGTTTACCATTCTTTCTCCTCAACACGAGCTACGAGCTTCTTGTGTGCATTGAAAGCACTTGCGTAGCGGTCATCCCAGTCTGTCCGATCACCAGGCTTAAGAAGCAGCCGCTCCTTCTGCAATTCGCCCCTTGTCTGTTCCCAATCTGCACTCAAAGTTAGTCATATATTCCGGCACCCCCGCCACCATATACAAACATACCAGACTTTAATCTTTTTGTTTGGGCAATTGACGACTTGTGCCTTTCCCTTTCCTTTTCTCCATCGTCTTCAATCATTGCTCTAATAACACTAGACTGTAATGCTAGGTGCATTACTAGCATAATCACATTTAATTTACCATCCTCCTCGGCGCAATCAATTTTCAAGTCCTCAGCCTCATATACCGTCTCCAGTAAGTTCTTCAAGATATTCCAGACATCCGGCGAGTCAGCGGTGACCTTCTTTATATTGTCGATAGCCTCATAGACCATATCTCCGTTCATTAATTGGTTTGCATCGGCTTGAACTATAGCAAGCAAGTTGGTAATGAGGTTACGGTATGTGAGATCCGTCCACTCTGAGTTGGGATCATTGATGGTACGAAAGTATTTTGGGGGGAGCTTATACATCAACTTCTCGAAACGAAGAAGGAATTCGCGAACGCGGCTGCAATGATGTGGATTAGCTTGATTCATCTACTGGGCTGCTATGACGAAATCCGGGAGAGTAAAGCTCACAGTCTTTTCTCAATTACTTCCAGGGGGTATGAAATTCCAATAAACTCGAACTCGGGATCCGAGACATATTTAGGTTGTTTCACAAAAGGCTTGATCACCACAGGAGCTGCTGATGCCAACATTTTTGGCTTGTCATCTTTTTTCTTCTCCGACGCTGATTTTGAGGGTTTGAGGATTGGGTTGCTGGTCACCTTATCCTTTCCCTTCTCCGTTGCAGACTTACCCACCTTTTCCTTTTTCTCTGCCGGTTTCTTTTTTTCCGTATCCTTCTTTTCCTTCTTTTCCTTCTTCTCCTTCTCGGCGCCGCCATCCGCAACTTCTTTATCCTTGTCCTTGCCCGGCGCCTTCGCCTTCTCTTTTCTCGCAGCATCTCGCTTCTCCTTTGCGAGCCTAGCCGCCTCCACAGCATTCGGGTCCTGCAGTAATTGTGCGACCGACAGTCCTTGCTCCTTCGCAAAAGAGGTTAAGAAGCCCGTTGGGGGAAGGCCATACTGCTTCCGATGCGGCGCACAGTTACAAATCTTGCGACAAATTGGGCAGAGCCAGACATATGGCTCTGTGTGAACATGGCCGAGTAATTTATTAAAGTCCTTTGGGCGACCTGCCGCAAGAATCGCTGTGGTATCCTCATCGTATCGCCGTTTCAAACAATCTTGACTATATACGGGGGGGGGGGAGCAGTATATATCAGTACAGATCACTACTGGATTATCCCTAGATTACTGGAGGAAAGGATGAACGGCATGCTGAGCGGGGAGAGGGAGGGGAGAGAGGAAGGGGGGGGGGGGGGGGCGCCGGTTGAGTATCTCCGTTATGATAGTTGGATGGCACATACCAAAACAGCTTCCCACATCTATCAGTTTTCTTTCCCCGAGTGGTTAGATATGTACACTCCAGGAACACATCCCTACTCTGGTGACACTGGTGGCAATGTTTACTGCTCGGGGTGCCAGGCACAGCCTCGCGCTTCTTTTTCTTTGAGGCCTCGCCATTGAGCTCTGATTTACGTTTTTTTGAGGGTTTTTCTTGGGGCGTTGTCGCTGCCAACTCCAAATCCATATCCATCATGTTCGCGCTTCCCAGTTCTGTCAAGGGTTGTTGAGGCGGCGGAGACATCAGGGTAGTTGCAGCCATTGCTGAGTGATATGCTGTGTCTGGATATCTATCCAGATTATAGGTGGGTTTGAGAAGTTGTGCGGTGGGATATGGTGGGGGGGGGGGGGATAGGCGGTGGGTTGTGTGGGGATTGGAAAGAGAAAATTGATTGAGAATAGTAGAGTAGTTTATATTTCTATTATTGGTAGAGCGCGTTGTTGTTGTTTTTGCTGGATCGTTAATCGGGGGGTGGTGGTGGGTATGGTAGGTAGGTAAGGAGGCTTTAGTTTTTAGTTTTAGTTTCGGCAGTGGTGGTGGTGGTGGTGAAGGGTTGTGAAAATATATTTCCAGGAGGAAAGGACAGCAGGGTGGTTGGTAAGTAGTAGATGTAGATGAGATATAGATGTAGATGTAGATGTAGATGTAGATGTAGATAGATAGGTAAATATATATGTATAAGTAATAGGTATAGGTATGCTGTATGTATGTAGTGCGTGATGGGGAGACGCGTAGAGAAAAGAAAGAAAAAAAGAGTCTCCCCCAAAGTGAGTCGTGTTATAATTTATCTTGAATTGTAGGTAGAGTAATGTAGTGGGAAAGTGGAAAGTAGGTAGGGTGAGTGTGTGAGTGTGTAACGACAGTAACGGGTTAACCTTAAGTACTGGAGTTATTCCTGGCTGCCAAGAGGCCAGCTTCTGCTGCGTGACATGGATCTGGGATCTGGTGGGCGAGGCGTGTGTGGTGGTGGTGGGTGTGGGCGTGTGGGTGGGCGAGTGGGATGGCGGTATGGGGTGTAATTCATGTGGGCGAGTGAGTGACTGAATTTGATCATCGGCATGGCCTCCTTTAATAGGACACTGAAAATGGGGGGTTGCGTTAGACACATGGATATTCTTCTACACTACATGATACGTACGGCATGTGTGTGGGCGCAAAACAGAAGAAGTTTACGTATGGATATATAGATCTTACAGATGCACCTCTGGAGAAATTAGTTGGAGCCACAAAAAACGTGGGTGCAGCTACTACTATATAAATTTGCAATTGATATGTCGGTAGGTAGGTAGCTCAATTGCTCAGATGCTTCGTTGCCGGGAGAAAGTACCCACGGCTAGGTATGATATAGATTTATTTAGGCAGCGACAATATTTGCGTGTGCGTGTGTGTGTGTGTGGTCTGGAAAATCATAACGCTGTGATCATTGCTACACTACTAGATTACATATCTATCTTTCTACAACTGTTTTCGTCTACTAATAATACAGCCCCCCCCCCTTCCTCCCCCTCCCCCTCTATGTCCCCTCCCCCTCTATGTCCCCCTTCCCCCACCACTCCACCATACCCCATCCCCACTATATATACAACCCTCCACTCCCACCCCCACCGCCACCACGCACACACCCCATCACCCCCCATCACTCGCCACCCCAACCCTAACCCACCCTCCCACCCTCAACTGAAGAGCACAACCTTCCCACTCCCGGTGCCGCCCGCGACCCAGTCCATGGTGGGGTGGAACTGGGCGACGGCGGGCACGGCGGTGATGCTCTCGTGGCTGAGCTGTGCGAGCTGCTCGCCAGACTCGCTGTAGATGTCGAGGTAGCGGTTCATGTTTGCGATGACGAACTTGTGCTGGCCGCCCGGCGGCGTTTGCTGCCATTGGGCGCGCAGGATGGTGACCCATCTGTGGGGTGTGGGTTAATGTGTGGTGGTAGTGTTTTTTTTGGGGGGGGGGGGGGCTTACCGCCCAGTCTGGTTGTTGTGCCGTATCACATGCGCCGGCTCAATCTCCTTCACCTCCGTCTCCACCTCCTTCCCTTCCCCTTCCCCTTCCTCTCCGGCGACGGTGGCGCGGCCCACGTGTGCGCATCAGGGAACTTGTACAGCTTCACCGTATCATCATACGACGTCGTCGCCAGCGTGCCATTACCATTCCACAGCGCACAGCTCACACTGAGCCGGCTCGTATGGCTGGCCAGCAGCGCCGGCGCGCGGTCCTCCCCCTCCCCCACCATCCGCCGCAGATCCCACACCTTGACGGTGCGGTCCAGCGAGCCCGTGGCGCACAGGTGCGGCGCGCCAGGGTGCAGGCTGAAACCACCGATCTTCTTGTCGCTGAGCGTCCACAGCTGTGCCTGTGCGGCGGGCGCGCGCGTGTCGACGCGGCCGAGGCGGCCGAGGAGCGTGGTGAAGTAGAGGGTGTGTGGGGCGACGACGTCGATTGCGGAGAGGGCGTCGTCGGGGTCGCCGGCGTAGGCTTCGGTGGCGAGGCCGGTGGTGAGGTTGAAGGAGCGGATGGTGCCGTCGTAGGAGGCGGTGTAGAGGGCTGTGGGCGTGCTGGAGGGGATGGTGAAGGCGGAGATGGTGCGGGCGTGGAGTTTGTAGGTTGAGATGTCGGGCGTGGGGGACGGGGAGGTGGCGTCGAAGATGCCGAGGTTGCCGGTCTTGTCGGTGGCGAAGATGAGCTGTTTTGTGGTTGTGGGGTGGAAGGCGAGGGCGTAGATGCGCTCGGGGGTGATCTTGATGTCTGTCGCCGCCGCCTTAGCTGTTAGTCAACTCCGCTCCAATCCAATCCAATTGAATCACCGGCAGAGCATAGGGAGCACACCATTAACCTCAAACCGATCATACAGCTTCAGCGCACTCATCTTCTCCCTCATGCTCCTCAACCCCTTATCCTTCGTCCCCTTCACATCCTCCTCCGTAAACGTCCTCCCCCTCCCCTTCACCCCGCCATCATCCAGCAGTCCCTTCTTCAGCTCAAAGCTCAGGTCCCCGGGCACCCTCATCCTCTTCGCCGCGCTCTCCATCAGACTAGCGCTTATCGCCGCATCGTCGTCCCGCGCTTTCCGCTTCGCGGCCTCCGAGTCCGCGGGCAGGCCGGCGAGGCGGCTGGATGTGCGCCGCGGGAGCGTGGACTCGGCGGCGGGCTTGCGCGGGGCGCGCTTTCGCGTGGAGGTGGAGGAGGAGGAGGCTTTGGCGGCGGGGGAGGCGGAGGGACGGCTGGCGCTGACGCTGGCGGCGTCGAGAGAGAGCTGCTGCAGGAGGGCTTTGTTCTTGAGGATGTTTTGCTGCCGGAGGAGCTCGTAGGCGGTTTCTTCGTTTTCGTCGGGGTCGGGTTTCATTGTGTACTGTGTGTGTGTGTGTGTGTGTGTTATTAGGGCATTATTATTTAATTATACGTTTTTGGTGGTGGTGGTGGTGGATATGGGGGTGTGGTGGAAATGTTCGTTCTGCCAGATTCCCGGGGCGACGCGATCCCCTGCGTGGTGTTGAGTGCTCGAGTGCGCTGTGTGTGTGACGCGTGACAGGCAGAATCTGCTCTCACCGTCTGGAGCAGCCACTGAAGTCCCGTACACGCGATATATCCAGAGCACATGAAGAAATCACACTGCCCTGCCGGACAGCGAGTGCAGGAATGATCGGCAGAAAGACTCGCTGCACGGCCACAGCTGCTGCTGCACCAGCCACACGCACCCCACCACCAGAGTGCCACTGCGCTAGCGTGACGCTGGAAAAAATATCAAGACTCACCACCACAGCTCTTCTGCAGAACACTCAATTCACACCACACAGCAGTAGCCCACAATGAGTTCATGCCTCCTTAAGCAGCGGCCCCTCCTGCTCACCGCCCGCAGGCCCCTCCACCTCACCGCCCTCCCACTGCCATTGCCATTGCCACCCAGAACCACCCGCCCCGTCACACACCTCACCGGCTCAACCCCCTCCACCCCCGACGACGACATCCCCATCGACCTCTCGCACCGCCCTCCTCCCCCCACCCCCGACGACCCATGGGCCTTCCTCCAAGGCGCCCCCAAGCGGCCGCACGAGGTCCCCTACATCATCCCCACCTACCGCCACCCCTCCTCCGCCTCCGCCCTCTCCCGCACCACCAACCCCTTCATCATCAACCCCTTCACCGCCCCCCGCTCCCCCACCTCCACCTCCACCTCCACCTCCACCTCCACCTCCTCCCTACTCAACGGCAAAAAACCACTCATCGACCCCGTAACCCTCTGCGAGCGCGAGCGCCTCGTCTTCAAAGAAATCTTCGAGCAGATCCTATCCACCAAGACCGTCTTCGCCCCACAGCCCAACGGCGCGCCCTTCCCCAGCCCGTCGCTCAACGCCCTCTTCGAGTCCGCCGTGGGCCCGCAGCAGCACCGCCACGAGATCTCGTTCGGCCCGCGCGACGGCATCGACCGCGACAGCACCATCGCGCGCCTGGCGCTCGCCAGCAACTTTGAGGAGTTCAGCCCCGCGGTGCGCGCGGCGGCGGCGAAGGCCGCCGGCGTGGTCGGCAGCGTGTGGACGTCGAGGGAGATGGAGGAGATTAAGGAGCAGCTGGGCGATAAGATATTGGAGATGAACCGGTGCGAGACGGACCTGGAGCTGGGGAGCTGGATGGAGGCGCATGTGTTCTCTATGGTCAATGGCAGCAGCGGGGAGGCTGCTGAGAAGCGGACATTCCCGCCTGGAACATACTCGTACCTTCTTGCTGAAGGTATGCGGATACTCCGCAGCACGTTCAACGACCTGCAGGGGGTGTTCTCGATCTTCAACAAGATCAAGACGCTGGGCGCCGAGTCGTATGTGGTGGGGTGCAGCGTGGACGTGTACAACCAGGTGATTGCGGCCAAGTGGGAGGGGACACGGGATCTGTACAAGGTGAAGGATCTGGTGGATGAGATGGACACGAACGGGATCCAGGGGAACTCGAAGACGCTGCAGACGATCAGGGAGATCATGCAGGATGTGGCCACGGTGGATAGTTATAGCATGTGGACGCATGAGCTGTTTAGTGAGGGGAATGATATGGTTCTGGATGGGCTGCAGGGACGGGTGGAGGTGTGGGAGAAGCCGAGGCAGGTGTGGGGGAATATTGAGGAGGCGTTGAAGGGGATAGGGGCGTAGGTGGGTCAATGGGGGGGTTGTGTATATAGCTATGTAGATGTGCGTGTATAGTAGGTAGGATATTTGGTGGAGCTTGTGCGGAGGGAACAAAAATGGGATGGAGTTCTTTTGCTGGTTTTTTTCATTCTTTTTTTTATTTTCTGGTTTTTTTCTTTTTCTTTTCTGTTGCATATTTGCATAGTTTGTATCGGGTGGTGGTGGTTGTTCGTGGTGGCTTCAATTGCATCCCGGTGCTTCAAGTACATAGGTGTTGTAGGGATGCAGAAAGGAAAAGAAAAAGGTCTATAAAACTTGTATACTAAGTACTCGCCCCTCTCTTTATTATTATCCATCTCCATTCGTTTTCAGAAGCCATTGAAATGCACTGCTTTCCGATTGGCTAGGTTGGGGCTGTATGTAGGCTGGGTTGATTGAAAAACTGTATCTACAAACTGATTAAGAACAAGGAACAAGAACAGAATAAACCAAAAAAAAAAAAAGGCCCAAAAAAAAAAAGACATGTTGATATATGTACCGCTCTTTTTTTGTTCAGTTGCAAATGTAAAGCAGGGATGGGATGGGATGGGATGGCAGAACGAGTGATAGTGAGTGTGTGAGAGAGAGCTGGTTAATTTATTTATCCACATAGAAAGAGAGAGAGATAGAGAGAGAAACGGAGGGGGTTCAAAAGATAGCCCCCCTCCCCCACCACCCCCCAGAACAAAAATCGTCTGTGTGCAGTTTATCTGTATGGGGAGTCTGCTCTGATAGCTGCGGCAAGCTCGGGTTCCCATCTAGATAGATAATGGTTGTTAGTATTTCTAGTTTTGGACGGATGGTTGACTGATGGGAGAGGGACAGAGGGAGGGTCAATCATACTTGTCACCGTTCGCCAACAGCTTCTCCTTGTTGTACAGCAGCTCCTCCCTGGTCTCGGTGGCGTACTCGGCGTTGGGGGACTCGACGATGGCGTCGACGGGGCAAGATTCTGAAAATATCACATTACTATCATTTCCCTACCCTAATTCACAGGGACACAGGGGCATACCCTGGCAGAAACCGCAGTAGATGCACTTGGTCATGTCGATATCATAACGGGTTGTCCTCCTGCTGCCATCCTCACGCTCTTCGGCCTCGATGGTGATGGCCAGAGCTGGGCAGACCTGATATTGTTTATATATGTGTTAGCCCACTGCTACTATTTCCGCAACATAGTTCTTTCAGGGTGGCAAGAGAAGGGTAAATGATATATCTGCCAGATCCGGCGAGCACATATATGCGTGTCTCATATCCTGAATTGGGCCCACTTACAGCTTCGCACAACTTGCACGCAATGCAGCGCTCCTCACCAGAGGGGTACCGTCTCAGCGCATGCTCACCACGGAACCTGGGCGAGATGGGACCCTTCTCGAAGGGGTACATGATAGTGTACCTGTAACATCCCCCCCATCCATCCCATTAACACTGCCATCCTACACACTGCACACTGCACACTATACAAGGAGAGGAGGGGCAGGCAGCTTACGGAGCCCTAAAGAACTGTTCCAGCACCACATACATTCCCCTCACCATCTCCGACATGAGGAAGAATTTCGCCGCCTTATCCATCGAACTCTCGCCCTCCTCCCAGGTCTGCGCCCGCCCGATACGGTAGCCCGGGATGGGCGTCCGGGCCGTCGCATAGTTCCTGACAGCGGCAGCAGCAGCGAAGTGGGTGGCGGCCGCGGGAGCGACGGTGCGCTGGATGAGGGGGCGGGTGGGGCGTGTGGCCGCGGCGAGAGCGAGTGTTCTGATGGAGGCCATTGTTGTGTTGTGTGCGGTTATGTATATATGTGTGTGTGTGTGTTTTGTGTTTTTGGTGGTTGGTGGTGGTGGGGTAAATTGTTTCCGTGGGAACCGTAGAAAAGTGAAGGTTCTGGTGCTCGAGAGCAATTGGCGCTGTGGCGTGGATGGACACCCGGGGGGGGGAGGTGGAGGGTATTTGTAAGGGGGGCCGAGAGTGGAGATTGGGGGGAGGTGCGGGCAGATGCGGTGCGAGGCGGCGGTGGACCGCTGCTGCTGCTGCTTGCTTGCTTATACGGGAGGGCCCTGATTGGTTGGAAGCGACATCGGGATATCTTGGGGGACAACGGGTTTTTTTCTACGGAAAATTAGACGAGTGATATTTCATCAGAATCGATAATTATAAATCATTTTTCTGCCTGTGAGAATTTTTATTTCTATTTTTCTTACAAGTGGATCATAGATAGAATCCTATTCTAGATATGGGACGAGGGGGGGAATCTTTCTTTCGGTCGGGGCTAGAGTAAAAAGCTGGACCTCCGGGGCTTTACATCGGGAGCCGAGACTCGAGAAACGCTGCATCGCGAAAATAATCGTCACTAGCAACAACCCAGCCAGCCAGCCGACCGACACTACCATCATCCTCCGCTTCCCATCTCTTCCCTTCCCCTCCAAACCAAACAACTTAACCACCACCCCCACCACCACCAACCCCACACCACACTCAACAACCTCCCCACACCACAACCACAACCACAATGTTCAGAACGGCTGCCATTCGCGCATCGCGCTCATTTTCCACCGCTGCCCTCGGTGCCAGGGTTTCTGCTCCGATCGCTGTTGTTGCCCGACCAACATGTGTGCGTGCGGTGCTCCCGGCAATGCCCTTCGCCGCCATCAGGTCCTACTCGGCGCCGGCTAAGTTGTCCAAGGACGAGGTTGAGGGGAGGATAATTGAACTGCTCAAGGGGTTCGATAAGGTTCGTTTATTACTCTGGAGATTGCCTGGGCCTGGAGGGGTTTGGTTTTTGTGTAGAATGGGGTCACTGATTGTTGGCTATTATATTATATTATAGGTCACCACGGACACTAAGGTAAATTTTTAGATGATTGCACATACGTCAGTGATGAGTTTGCCAATTGATCGTGATATAGGTCACTGGTACTTCTCACTTTACGAACGACCTTGGCCTGGATAGTCTCGATACTGTCGAGGTCGTCATGGCCATTGAGGAGGTTTGTGACCCATCGGCCATGATCTCACTGCGGAGAATTGCCAGAACTAACAACCTTTATAGGAATTCAGCATTGAGATCCCCGACAAGGAGGCCGATGCTATCCAGGGTGGTATGTGAACCGCTATGTTCACCCTCACACCCCCCAGCGTCCGCAAACTAACTTATCTCTCTTTTTTTTTTTAAAAAAAAAAACAGTCGAGCACGCCGTCAACTACATCGTGTCTCAGCCCGATGGTCAGTAGTAATCCAGCCGTTTCCCCCCGTCCGTGCGTACAACGGCTTTTTTTTTTCCCCTGTGGGTTGTTGCTGACAGCGCCTATCAATAATCTAGCTAACTAAATCATTGATCGTCCGTTCTTCCTTTAATGGGTGAGACCAGCTCGGTTGGTTGACTCTCTTGTATTCCACACCCCTCCATATTGTACATGTCCGGCAGATAGTCGTTGTTAGTTAGGCGATGACAACTTTGCCATGTTGTTGAGATTGCTTAGAAGATGGGAAATGGGAAAAAAAAGCCTTCAAAAAATATTATGTCACTCAAAATAGTCGCGGGGTTCCTCGTTTAGGTCGTAATCGTCATGGGAAGTTATTTAATAATTTTTTAGGATGCGAGTAGAGGGCCCGGTTTCTTCGCCGAGGAGAGATCAGGAGGCGAATTTCCGAGATTTGGCGGTGAGGGTTTGTAAGGTGAGGTTGTGAGCTTTGAATGTCCGTGAGTATTTGGGGTGAGCGAAAGTAACGTGCGTCACCGTATCATTGGCCGCGTAAAGATGATTGGGGGTAGAGGATCACCAGTATCTATTCGTGGGGCGTAGTGTGAGCGCAATGCCATGAATGGAGCTTTGACGAATCTAGTTATTTCAGCCAACAAACCACAGTAGAATGCCATCATTATACATGGCGCACATATAGAAATCACAGCAGTAGTTGCAGTAGAGCGTAGTGAATTGAATACGGCCGAATAACCACTGTAGCAGGCACTGGTCCATTCAGCATCACCATCCCGCAAGGTGCTGCAGCCGAGTGTCCCCTTTTTCAAGCTTTCCTATGGGCTACGGATTACAGGCCCATTCCTAGTGCCTTTACTTCAGACATGAGAATCTGATAATCGTTCCCTTACCCTTATAATTTCAGTGCGAGATTTCAAAATTATATCTCCGCCGAGTAGCAGAGCACAGCCCTCCCTCCCCCGTCCGTCCATTCATTCATCGATCTAGGTATATAGATTCTGGCCCATATCCATATATCCATACCCCCGTAGCCCACCCACTCACCCCCCGTTCCCCGTTCCCCGTTCCTTCCTTCCCTATTCCACGCGTCCACTTCCATCTTGCTACCAACGCCTTCCCCATAGCTCTTTCAACCCACCTACAATATATCTAGGCAACTTGCTTAGCACTCACCGGTCGCTTGCTTACCCTTCCTCGTCGCGTTGCACCAAAGAGCAACCTACATACAACCTCTCCCACATCCAACATCTCAAAGACAACCTCTACGACGAATACGAGACCCCACCGCCTACCCACCACCACCACCCCCCCACTATGGCTTCGACTGCAGGACTGACACGACGGAGAGGAGGCGGTGGAGGCGGCGGCAGCGGTTCGGGCGGGAATGACGAGGAGGGCCGCAGCGGATCACCAAGCACAAGCACAAGACCCAGCGAAGCGAGAACTGGCGGGGAAACATCGTACACTACGGAGAATGGACACAAGATTGGTGAGCGGAATTGAAATCGCCGTTTTTGTGTGTTTGTGTGTGAATATATGGCGGAGGGCGGGCTTTGGGCGACAAGCAAGACAGAAGGCTAATGCAGGGAGAATGAATCGGGGGGTGGATTTGCAGCGTTCGACCCGAGAGATATCAGCGAGAATCAGGAGAGGAATAAGCAGCCAAAGTTGACCTTGATGGAGGAGATCCTGCTGCTGGGACTGAAGGACAAGCAGGTGTGACCATTCTTTCGCCCCCCCACCCCCTTCTACCCCATCCCCTATATACAGTTCTGTTCAAAAGTAGAGAATGGTGTATTTGTTTGTACTTGGCCTTTGAGGTATCTGCAGTTCTGACCGCTGAAGCCGCGCAAATAGGGATACTTGTCATTCTGGAACGACAATATCTCGTATGCCCTCCGAGGCTGTATAGTCCTCGAGCTTGCCTTCCGCGGACGCATCTCTATGCAGAAGGACTCCTCCCGCCGGCGTTTCCCACTGGCAGACCGCATCATTGAGGTGATCGACGACACGCAAACCGGCGAGGTACTGCTCGACGAAGCTCTCAAGATGATGAAGGCATCTGAGAAGATGAGCGTAAGCTCCTGGATCGACCTCATGAGCGGTAAGACCGCAAGCCGCACCTGCCCTGTTTCATTACTGACTCTACTATTACAGGTGAAACATGGAACCTCATGAAGATCGGCTACCAGCTTAAGCAGGTGCGCGAGCGGCTCGCAAAGGGCCTGGTGGACAAGGGGATCCTCCGCACCGAAAAGCGCAACTTTTTGCTTTTCGACATGGCCACTCACCCAGTCGCCGACGGGGGCGCCAAGGACGAGATCCGCCGGAGAGTCAGAAATGTATTGACATCCCGCACGGTCGTGCTACCGGGAAACCCCTTCCTGCCCGAAGAGATGGAGTTCCGCTTCCTGCGCACCGTGGCAATGGTCTGTGCGGCGTATGCTGCGAATGTACTGGAGAATGCGCTGGCGACACTTGGACATGAAGCCAGGGAACGAGCGTTCGCGCATGTAGATGAGCTGTTGGCCGAGTACAGCCAGTGGCCATTTGGGAAGAGGAATACGGCCGGGGGAGTTGGGCAGAACTTGGGGCAGGCTACGAGTGAGGAGGTGAATAATAATAAGGACAGGGAGCTCCAGTTGGAGGTAGGCCATTTTTCCGACACTGCAATCATTACCCTTTGAATATCAACTAATTATTATTTCTTTACCATTTACAGGTAGTATCAGCTGTTTTGAGCGTCTTTACCAGGCTAGACTCGCTCCTGTAGAGGCCGACACTAGTGATTGCTTTTATTTCTTTTTTTTGCGCATATCTTCTCCAAGTGTAATTGATTTTGTTACTTGCTATTATCTTCTATTATTCCTCCCTTTTTTGAGCCCTGATGAAAAGAGAAAAAGCGAGACATTTAGTTCTGGGATTCTGGCATGCTGTTTGAAAACATAAAATGAATGGGTGTTTTGTCTTTTTGTGTGCGTGTGTGTATGTGTGCTTTGAGTCTCTGTCTGGTTATGTTCTCAGATCCTTCTTTTTGGCGATTGCTCTCCGCCCAATCCAGTCGCGGAGGAGTACTGGTGTTCTCTTCACGGAAAGAAAAAAAAAAGCATAATGAATTCATTGAATAACTGCCAAAGAGGAGACACGGTCTTTGTTCTCAAGCCAAAGCACAATCTATCTAATCTTAGCTCCCATATTTATGTTGTACTCCACATCAATATCTATACTCTACCCTACCCAGAGCCACCTCAAGAGCCACTACTAGCCCTCTGCCTCTGCGGCGTCGTAGTCCTCTCACTCCTCCCGAAGATCGGCGTCGCAGCTCTACTGCGTGTTGCCTCCCGCTCGGCCACATAGCGCTTGTCGGTAACGACGCCCTCAAAGTACTGCTCGACCTGGATGTTGTACGAGTAGTCCAGCGGGATGAAGCCCTGGCGGTTGCGCTTATCCGTTGTTGCGCCCCGGTCCACGAGCGTGCTGATGGTCTTGTGGTGCCCGTAGGCGAAGGCGAACTTTTGGGTTCTCTCTGTTCAGCTGCAGTAACAAAGGGCCCGGGCTGCGAGTAAGTAGTAGGAGGAGGAGGAGGAAGAGGGGCGTACATGTAGTGCGGTATTGCCCAGCGCATCGGTCATGTCGATATCTGCGCCCAAGTCTATCAATGTCTTCCGTACCCAATTAGCTCCCCTCCCCTCCCTCTCCCTCTCCTCGTAATAAAACTCACATTGACAACCTCGTCCCACCCCTTCTGTGCCGCATGCATCATCGCCGTCAGCCCCGCCTTGTTCCGCCAGTCAATGCAGCGCTCAAAGGCGCCCGCCAGAAATATAACCACGGTCTCGTGGCCGCCGGCCGCCGCGAGCATCAGCGGCGTGTCGCTGACCGCATTCTTTGAGATGCCGGCGTCCTCGTGGTGGGACTCGGTGACGAGGTGCTGGACGATGGTGAGATGGCCCTTTTCGGCGGCGAGGTGCAGCGAGGTGTTTCCGGCGTGGTCGGGGTTGTAGAGTGCGTTGGGGTGGTTCTTGAGGATGCGTTTGGTTCTGGTGGGGTTTTAGTGGTTGCGGCTAGTGGAGGGGGTTTTTTTTTTGGGGGGGGGTGTTTTGTGGGGTAGGGGAACACTGACAGGAGGAGGTCACCGGAGAGGATGGCGTGGCGGAGGCGGATAGAGACTTCGATCCTGTTATTGTTGGGTTAGTCTGGTACGAAGCAAAGCTTTTAGGTATGTAGGTAGATATTTACATTATTTCTTGGATATCGTTATCATGGTATAGTTACATGTACGTGTAGTGAGTGGCACAGGGGAGCTCAGCTTGTAAGCTGGAAGAGGGGCTTGCGTGACTCGAGGTTGGGCCTATCGAGGACAGGTCAATGACCGTTGTGCCGTGCAGATGCCAAGAATGCTTCTATTTGAGCCGCAAGATTGAGGCATTTAGATACAAATACGTAGCCTTTCATAGGTTTGTATTCTGAAGGGGTTAAGTTATGGCGATGGGAATTGTTTATTTGAGGTATGGATGTTGGTGGTAGAGTATTGGAGCTCCCGTCACCAGGGAATGCAGCGGTGTGAGATATAGGTAGAGCTGTGCCTGAGACCTCGTGACTGGTTCAAGTTTGATAAGCCTCTAGAGTATAGATCTGACCAACTAATTATACTTGAGCAAAACTTTACTGGATGCTCTAAGATGTTGATCTAGATTACGGGTGGTTGCTGAAGAGGGTAGTTTAGAACTTGTAATATCTGGGTTGTGCAATCATTGATGCGTTTCAACTATTACAATATTAACTTCTCGCCCAGTTGCAGAAAGCACAAGCTCGCCCCCCCTTACTTATTGTAGATCCTTAAAGAGCACGTAGGACATAGAGAATATGTAGTTGGCCTTCGAATTAAGTCCTTTACTTAACAGTGTTCGGTATCATGTGCCATTCTGGTGTAGTGACACGTCAGGAGGAAACCTCGACTCTGCAAGCTTCCATCATGGTGCTGCGAATCGACATTCCCTTCCTTCTTGTTCAACATGATCAAGTGTTCATCTGACAGTTCCAGCTCTGGGTAGGTGCTTGAAGAGGTCACATACCTCAAGACCACCTTGATAAGCGCAAAGATAGAGAAACACTAAATCTGTCGGCAAGTAGCATAGATCTATTGTGTTCCCTAAAAAAAAAAAAGTGTTGATAAAGAGTCGAACCAATGCCTCTTTCGTGACCCGGGCGACCGGAACCATCCGAGACATGAGGTCTGTTCCAGCCAATGACATAGCGGTAATGATTGATCCGGGTGTAAATATGCACAGGGCTAGGGTTACTCCTAGTTGTCTCCAATAGTTTTTGATATATACGATGTACTCTAGTTTGGATCGGTGGCTCCATGTACCGACTCTACTCTACCCACGGCTACCCCTCTTGCGCGTATTTTCATACTCCAGATAAGACTAGTAGGCAATCGTACGTACTCTAGGCTTAATTCCCCCGCGCTGTCACACCTGGGCCCGGGGTCATCGCATTTCACCTGCATATGGGATAAATACTAGCTTGAGGCGTAGCTGTCAATTAGGCATGTAGGTACCGTTTTTTCTTTAAAAGGTCCCCCCCTTAGACTCTTCCTAAATTCCTAGACTCATAACTTTGTTCCTGAGATAGAAAGGATGGCAGACTTTTGGGCCGGGTATAATCACTTCAGCTATCCCATGACCACCCTAAGTTAACTTGTAACGCCGCTAACAATTCCCAGCTACATCTCTGGCGCAGCCTCTATAATAATCGGATCACCACTCGATATAATTAAAGTCCGCCTCCAGTCCGGTCCCCTGAATATTAGTCCAACTGCCCAAACATACAGCTTCGAGAACCTCGGCAGTTTAGTTAGAGGTCTTATCATGACCCCAACTACCTAGATCTAGACACTAACGTACCCATAGGCGCAGCAGCTCCACTCGTCGGGTATGGAGCTCTAAACGCCCTTCTTTTTGTCTCCTACAACCGCACGCTCGAACTCCTTGGAGACACGCCTGCAAACCCCTCTAGTCTTTGGAAGATTTGGGTTGCAGGAGCAGCCGGAGGACTGGCTACCTTTTGTGTTAATTCACCTACCGATGTGCCACGCCTTCACTTATTATATTAGCCTGTCCAAACCGTAAAGCTTACATGTAGTAAAAATAATAGCTAGTAAAATGTCGCGCCCAGTTAAGCGCCAGCGGTGAATCTTCCTGGAGCATAACCAAGCAAATCCTACGTTCACAAGGAATCCGGGGACTATATTTCGGGGGAGTGGTAACGAGTCTTCGGGACTCAATTGGATACGGCTTCTAGTACTCTACCCATAATACACCCGCCCACCCTCTATAGCTACTGACAAGATCGCCGCAGCTTCCTACCTTATCAGTATATTCAAAAGGTCCTAGACGGCAATTTCGATATGAGCGACCACTATGCCTTCAAGATCCTACTTTCTGGAGGGTTGGCCGGATGCATTTCGTGGGCCTCTATCTATCCACTAGATCTCGTCAAGACCCGATATCAGACGCAATTTACTGCTTCTGAGGCGCCGTTGCTTCCGAATCAGAACCGGAATGCTGCGCCTATGGGCGCTGAGATGAGTACTTGGGAGTGCGCGAAAGCGGCGTACAGAGAAGGTGGAAGGAAGATTTTCTTCAACGGACTAGGAATATGGTGAGTTCCGTTCCCAATTCAAGATGAGTGTAAATGAGGTTCTTATTCATTTCCCCCCTTCTGAATAGTATGGCGAGAGCTTTTCTGGTAAGTACCCACTATCCTCTACCTGTGATGGGACATTGTTGATAACCATAATCTGTAGGTAAACGCAGCAGGGGTGAGTTCCGATAATCAGCATTTTACTTCTTCCCCTCCCCCTGTTCGTTGCTGTTTTGCTGAAATTGTTGAATAGTTCTTTGTGTATGAATGGGCCTTGGCCCAGCTCCAGCCCTCGAGGTCACGGGGATATGGGAGCGATTCGATGGGAGTGGGCGCTTAATTGTGGCTTTATAGATATGTAGATAGAACTAAAGTTAGCTTGATTTAGAGTGTTGCTGATTTGAAGGAGCTTATATTATGAATCCATTCCCTAACACCAGTTGCGTTCAAACTAATAAAGTCCTGGGGAAATGTCATGTAACTGCTTAAGGATAACCTCGCTGTTATGACATGTATTGGACAGTTTGGACTGTCGAAAATCCCGCCATTCCTAGCTAGTAAACCTAGATAATATTGGTAGCCCTAGTGATTATATCACGAGCACTAAACCAGACTTCCTATATTTGATTACTGGCTAGATAGTGAAATTCTCGGAGTTCTATTAGGAGTCTTGAGTTGGTCTAGTATTATTTGAATCATGACATATCACTCGATAACAACTTTACCCACAACTCCTCAAAACTGTCCCAGCGGAAATCTGGGCGCTTCTTTGCGTTAGAAGCTCGCTATGACTAAGATCCTTACGAGCAGAAGGCAGGGTCCCATTCAATCTCTGGGTGCTGTCAGAGGGGTTGAGCGAGACCCCCCCCCCCCCCAAGTCCCACACTCTCTTTACCATTGATTGTGTTTTCTCCGCGAGGTGGTGCATGGGACGTATGAAATACGGCTGTGGTAACGGTCTATACGTCCATAAGTAGAGAAGAGTATACGTGGGGCGTATTGGAGTGGTTTGTACTTAACATTTTGTCCCGGTTTAAAAATATGCTAGCTGCAAGTAGAGTATATAGGTCAAACAATCAACGAATTAATCCATTCAAATATACTAATATTTGAGACTTTATTTAGCATTGCTAGTAGAAATAAGGCTCAGAACTATACACATGTTCAATGTTTAGTGTATAGGAGAATTAACCAATCATACTATTCCCGGACATGAGTGATAACTGATGAAGGAAATTTAAATTTTTTTTCAAGTAGTAGTTAGTACAATGCAAAAAAAAAAAAAAGATTCGAGTGAGGTATCAATTGTAACGGTGGAAGCACAAGCTGAAATGTAATATAAAATTAGGAAATAAAATTGATAATGCTTCGCCATAATGCCAAAAAAAAGGGATGATTCCCACTTTTAAAAAAAAGTGCCATCGCCTGCCGTCCAACCCTGTCCTGTCCTGTCCCATCCTATAATGCACCGTATTTTTCCTCTCATTGCAAATCAACCAGCCCAAAAGGAAGAAAGCATGATACAAATGGGTATATCGATAAATCAAATAGAAAATAGAGTAGACGCCTGAATGTCAACTGTTCTTGAGAACGAGCACATATAGGGTCTCTAAAGTCAAAAATACACAAAGAAAACTTAGAAGTTTTCTTTTCCCCAAACGAAGGAGAAACCTGGCTCGGAGTATTGATTGCACTTAACGTGGAGTGCTGAACCAAGGGGTTTGGGTCCACAGAAGACTAAATGAAACCAGTTAACAACAGCTCCAGGTATTAAAACAAAAGCGTGAAAACTTACAAACTCCAACATCTGCAGGTGTGTGCATAGCACGGATACTTTTAAATACGGTGTCCCAGTTCGGTCTACCAAAGTTTGTAGGAGCTCTTAGACCTGTGATGGCATCTTTTTCGGCGTTGGCATCGTTAATCATGATGTTTGTAGCGTCATCAGGTTTGATCTTTGCTGTTAGGTATGTGTGGATTTCGATAAGATGGCCAATATCCTGAGCCTCAATGGCCAAAAGTAAAGAGCGGAACCACTCGAAAGATCCAAAGTCACGACAGATCCAGAAGAAATAAACCTTGTGAAGTCTTGTTTTCTTCTGCGGGTAGTTGCTCCTGTACCAGATACTCTTCAGGATTGATGCAAAAGGAGTAACACCAATACCTGCACCAACAAGAACAGAGACTTCGTATTTAAAAACGTCCTCAGAAGCGGACCCAAAAGGCCCATCGATGTAGACTCGGGGCAAAACCCTGCGAATGGCCGGATCAACATCCTCCTTGGTATTCTTATCCACACCAATAACTCTCGACTCTCTGCGCTTCGATTTTTCGGCCTTGGCGTCAGCGCCGCCGGGAGCCTTTTTATCAATATTACAGCCCAAGGTTTTACCAAGTTGTTTAGTGAAGTCTCCAACCATACGGACGTGGACAGAGATGTAGTCCTCCTCCGGAGCACTAGTTAGTGTGAAAGGGTGGTACTGATAGATTGATACTTCTGGGCAGCAAAGAAAAATGTATTGTCCGGCTTTGGTGACAGTGCGATCCTTCTTGATCTGGATCTCAACGACATTGCTAGGATGCTCGATGACCTTGCTGATGTATGTCTTGTGTTTACCACGGATCTCACGCATGGTCCTTTCTCCAAGGTAAAGGAGACCACCAACCATCCAGAACTTCCAGAAAACACCAATACCATCACAGAAAGGAGGACGATCAGGCTTGATCATGCAAAAGGCACCATGGAATGACCAGAAAAAAAAGAAAATCATAAAGAGATGGTGGGAGTACCTTAAAATTGTTAGTGATTTGTATACAAAGCCTGAAGGAATAAGAACTTACCAGAATCTCTCGAAATTGGCCCTACGGGGCTTCTCCATCGCCGTGACAGCCATAATCATCAAGGAAATAAGCATGATGTATCCAGTCCAGCCAGGACCCGAAACAAAATTAGCTTGTAGCCATCCTACAAACCCGAGATTATTCTTTATTGCCAGTTGGGCAAAGTTGTTCCAATGGGCAATTGTGTGAAGCCATGAGAAGAAAACGATAGACCACGCGGTCACTATCAGGGACAATTAGTTGTTGTATTTCACATAATCGGCGGAGGCACAAATACTCTTGTGAAAAGTGATATTCTTATCAAATTGAATAATCCCGTTAAGGGCGGTTTGTCTAGCCATAGAGATAAGATTACGGCAAACGGCTGTGTAGGTACAATTATTAGCTTGAGGGACATCTGAAGGTTGATTGGCGGGTTTGCTTACGCAATAAGATCAGGGCTACATCTACATGCAACACCAACGCAGAAGCTCGAGCTATAGGTAATGTAATTCCAAACACCTCTCGAGCCCCAACGAGAGTGTCCTTCAGGGTATAGTGAATAAAACCAAACCCAAACACCAGCATGTGTAGCAATATGAACAGCCCGACAAAACTGCTTGGACGTCAGAAACAATGGGATTCCAATCAGGCATTAAATTTGTGACTTACATTCGTCGGTAACCTTCGTTGACCATCCTAATACTTTATTAGCTCTTTCATGCGGTAATAATGTAGATTCCTCTAGAGTGCACGTACCAGCGGTCGATCTTTTGCTTCAAAGTGAGCAGCTTGACATCATGTTTACTAATATCTGCGGAGCTCATCTTTGCCATCAGAGCAGGCCAGCGAGACCGCTCTGACTGGGAGCCTAGTTTTTTGAAGCCGCTACTCATGGCTGCTTCTTTTCCCTCCGCCCCGGTCTAGAACTATTTGGTGGGTTGGGCGATCAACGCGTGAGGACGAGACCTTAAATAAAATTTTCGCGATTTCGTTCAGGACCAGCTGAAGCGCAAGTGTATTTGGCAAGGGGCGATCGATGTATGCTGGTTTTGTTCGCCCGCGATACTCCTCGGTAGGATACCTTAGGTTGAGTTGAACGTGTGGGGTGAAAATGGAAAACGCCGAGAAGCCAAAGGAGAGACTCAAAGGTTTGAACGAAAGAAGTGGAAATTATTGAGAGATGAGGAACTAGTGAGGGAAGTAGGAGAAGAAAAGAAAAGGGAGAGGGAGTGTGAACCGCTAGTGGGGATAATGAGAGACAAAAGGGGATCCAATGAACTGATTCAAGTAAGGGATGGTCTGAAGGAGGCGAGCGGGAGTCGGCTACGCTTGTTTTTTCTATTGGAGCTACATATAATTCGTAGCGGTTACCACAGGCGCAAAAGATGCCTGAGCCAGGGTTGCGAGCTGGCGCGCTAATGATGAGATAAAACTTTGGAATCAGCTTCTTTCTCTAAGTAATCGCCTGATGTTGCAGTACAAAATCTAGAGTATATGCTCTAATATTTCAGGCCAGGGCTTTGCAGCCGTGACAGGAGGGGAGGGGCCATCCGGCATGCTGTGCATTCTCTGCAAATATCGCCATCGGTACCTCCTGGTTGGTGGGTCTTTTCTACATGCCTGGGCCATCATCAACGATTATTACGCTCCGCCGCTTGCCCTATCAGCTTTTGTTGATTAAAACGGCGAAGATGGCTTATTCTGTCCACATTAAAATCCTGGGCGGTTAAGAATCGAAGTTTCATGTATGAGACCCCAAACACCAACAATACGAGCGGTTTAAGCGAAAGGTTTTATCTCAGGTGAGGGTTACATGTCATCATCTTCTTTAGCTCCAATCAATTCTCCGTTCCTGCTTTTTCTAGACCCATTCTTTGATTCCCAAGGGAAAATAACGTGTGTTACCTTCCCCTCCACAGCTCGCGACTATCCCTGGAGGAGATCAGGGGTTCTTAACTTGTTAACCAGCTTCAAACAAAACCCACTGAGACACGGAAACGATAAGAGCGTCAAAGTTCCTCCAGAATGTGCCGTTTTTATGCAAGAAATCGAATTCAAGTCTTAGCGGAAATGGGCCTCTCCCGCCGGGTACAATGACCAGTCTTGTGAGGTGTGAGAAGTTCCTATTGTCTGGCCCTCAAGAACCTCTAAAAGGATAAGATAGCCATTATGACGAGGTTACTACTTCTTACCCTCAGACTCCTACACATGAGATACTGCGCCAACTATTTTGACCTTTACTTTCCAAAATCGTATGCTCGGAGGATTATCTAGTCTCACGGGCCCCAAGAACTTACATAACTTTTCGAGGATGTACCCGGGGGTGCCGGAAGTGATGCAACGCTTGACCTAGCAACGCCGAAATGTACTCAGAACTTCAACTTTTAACACAACACAATGCTTGGGCAGGATAGATATTTTAGTCATACCCATGATAAATGAGTCTCTAGAACAGAGTCTGCAGTTTTTCAGGTCATTGGTTTGGGGTTTTTAGCATGGGGAAGGACAACTTGTGACAAGAGACAGTAATAAAAGGAGAAGCAACAGTCAACCACATCAACTCTCGCCATAACTATGGTCTCCAGCTTCTAAATTACCATAGATTTGCTCCACATTCTAGTTTGGTTGTTGAGAAGTATGGGCTATTTGACCGTTGCATCACTTTCCGGCACCCTGGGTACATACAATATACATTAAAGTTAAATCTCGCCGGAACATACATATCAGAGAAAATGTCAGCACTGATACCCGGTGAATATAGGCTTATACAAGAAGAATTTCAGTAGTAGCCGTGACCTATAGTGTTTTTACTTTCCCAATAAGTTTTTTTTTGATATGTTTGTACATCACACTAACGATATTTAAAGCGGACCCGTGAAACGTGGAAATAATAAGGTTTGGCACGTTTTCATGAAGGGTAATCTTGGCATCACATGCTCCCCGCCAAGCTTTAACTTAAAGTCAGTTGGTAAGAGTCAGCGGTTTGATATTGTATTTACACACTCCGCTTAACTCACAGACCGTCGGGCCGAAGAGTGTTCCGAATCCCAGAGTATCTATTGTGGGATAGCGAGATCTTTGAGAGGGTCAATGTTGTATTACAGAAAGTTCTAGCAACTTTACTGCCGGCTTTAAGATTGCTCCAATACAGATGTGCATAGACTAAGAGCATACTCTACTCTAGCTGTGGTGATCAGTAAACTTAGAGTGGTCCTTGTACACATCATGGCTATGAACCCTCGCTCTAGATGATGCATACATCATGAGATAATGGTTCCTAAATGCTTGTGTTGCGGTATATAGATGTAGGTACATGTACTGTCGTTCACGGGGTATTGGCGGACACTGGGTGTTGACGGATTGCAGGCAAAACTTGGCTTGGCTGTCTCTTTTTTGGTTTGTTCAACACCCAGTGCCGTGAACGACAGTACTCTACCTTGTCCAGTGGAGAGTAGGGTTCTTCCCCGCATTACATGTAATTATCCTGCAGCACTCGCTGTATGCTTAAGCTACATAGGTACATGTATTCCAACAGAAGTGAGGCTGAGAATAAGCATTTCAAAAATTCAAATATGTATGTATCAATGACATCTACGGTCTCAGTTAGACGTCAACATGTTACACCAAACCGGACAAAGGCGTGGGGTTTTCCGCTGATACGCAAACCAAGAAGACTGATATGATGCCTCGAACCCATAAAATATCTATCATACGCGTAATACTGTACGTATCAGAAACTCCTCCGAGATTTGGAGGATATCTGTACAGGGCTCATCGCCGCGCGTTTGAAGCCTTGGGAGGTTAACTACGCTGTTTTTGGTAGGTATCCTCAAGTTGTAACCAGCCAAGTCCATACCTGTACTGTACCTACATCTGGCAGAAGTATTCACTTTTCTTGGGGAAACGCCCATGTAGATGAGGTACATGGCAAGTTTGGGTAAGCAAGCCAGAAGGCGCAGCAAAGTATGTATATCGTACTCGTAGTACGTGATACATACATACTCTTTTTGCTGTTCCTAAGCCCCTCCTACATGCTTTTGGGTGCTCCACATGCAACCCTGTGTACCCCAGAAGATGTAATAATAGGATATGTACCCAGAAGAATATGGCAAATTAGGTGCTCCTGCGCTCAGCCTCCCGCTCAGTAGATGATTGTCCCTTGCACGTGTGAGAGAAGAGGGGTGATCTGAAAAGGTTGAAAAATATCTCCTCATCCCCTCAAGGGCCAACCAGCAGCAACTGACTGACTGTATTCTATAGCGAGTACTCAACTGGCAGTCTACCCCAAAAGCCAGTGATCATCGCCACTCTTCTCATTATTGTCGTGCTATTTTCTTTACATCGTAAACCCCTACCTGCTGCTCAGCTTCCTACTACTACTCAGTTTTTACTATCCCAGCAGCAGCTTGCAGCAGACTGCAGCTCTGACATCTAACAACTGCCCTTTTGCCTTGCGGCCCGGTCGGCAAGTCGTCATCTAATAATTTGAGTCTAGTCGGAATAGAATCCCGATTCTGCGTGTTTTTTGTGAGATCCCACATCCAATCGTTGCAGCACTCCTTTCCACAACGAAACCACTGCTTCCATCCCGACAGCAGAAGGAAAGAAGGACCAAAGCTCCTCCTGGTTGCCATACTGCGGGGTGAAAACATCCATCGCATCAGTTTTCTAGATAAATAATTCAAGGGTTATTTTTTCTGGTAGTCTTCCGGAGCACGGCTGAGACGCAGTTCCGGTGCGGAAGTACTGCTTTGGGTAGTAGACTTAATTTTTTTATAAACAGGTGAGTAAAAAATGTGAGCTTTGATGCGCATTTTTGCCTTCATCTGCCTTGGGGCTCCGCCCTGACTTTTCTTCATAAGTTGACCGACCCTCCTTTGGCCGCACAGATCCACGACGGAGTATGTCCGGCATGGGCGCCACTTTCTATCCCGGAAATGATGATTACATGATGCCCGAACTCAATATCGTGTCTCCAGCCCCTCAGAGGTTTGTTTCTCCTTTGTTCTGTTACTAGTGCATATATACTTCTTGGTCTTCTCTTTTCATTTGGTGACTATTCACTGTCAAATTTGTTTTAACGTTTTCTGTTGTTGCCCCCGCAACCCCTCCGACCTCCTATTGCTGCCAACTTACTGATATTCGCCAGAGTAATGCCCGAAGTTCCTGGACACATAACAGACAGTTTGAAGCATCTTGAAATCGACGGCAGCAACATGATGAATCAACGAAACCAAGGAAACTATCCTCAGGGAAACTATGTCGATCCATACTCTACACCATCGCAAGGTCGACCTTTAAGCGACGACCGAGGGGTTCGATCTAGTTATGCTTCGTCGTACCACTCATCGATAGGAGATGATTACCGGTTTTCGGGAATAGAGGATCCAGTATTCTCTCCGTTTCCAAGGCTCATCAATCCTGGCCCAAACATCCCCCCGACAGATGAAGAGAAGGAAGCGCAGATTGAGGGGGCTCGTTTGGAGGTGCTCTCATCGAACGACCCTGAGATGCAGTTGATATGGGCCCAGGACGCGTTAAGCTATGTCGAAGTTTCGGTAGCATACCACAACCGAATCTATGAAGGCACAGAAAGACCAATGACTCCTGCGCTTGAGCATCAAATCAAAACAGATGCTATTAGTGTTGTAAGCTTTTTAGCTGACCAACACCATCCAAGGGCAGAGTTTATGAGGGGAAACTGGTTGGAGTTCGGAAAATTTGGATTCAGGATAGATAAAAAGGAGGCTTTCAGGTGTTATGCCCGGGCAGCTGAAAAAGACTTTGCTCGCGCTGAGTATAGGATGGGGATGCAATTTGAGAATTCTAATGAGCCTATGAAAGCGATTAAGCATTACAATCAGGGAGCGAATTTGGGTGACTCGGCATCCAATTACGTAGGTTAATGTCTTTATGGATTGGGTTTTGGTAATTGCTAACTCCTTGGCAGAGACTCGGAATGATGACATTGCTGGGGCAACATGGCCAAAAGCAAGACTATGCAAGGGGTGTTACTCTCATTAGGCAAGCAGCTAACACTGCCGACGAAAACGCACCCCAAGGGGCATATGTAAGCTTACGGAAGATGTTATATATGATCAATTCTAACCTGGTGATAGGTTTATGGCATGTTGTTAGCCCGAGAGCTCCCCGGTATAGAGATTCCGGATCTTTTCTTGCCTCTTGATATTAGACAGGCAAGAGAGATGATCGAGAAAGCAGCTTTTCTCGGGTTTGCTGTAAGGACTACAATTCCTATAAACGGTTCACCCACTGACAGTCACGCAGCGTGCTCAACTTAAGATGGGAACAGCGTATGAGTTGTGTCAATTAGGATGTGATTTCAACCCAGCGCTATCGCTCCATTACAATGCCCTCGCTGCAAGGCAAGGTAATTATTTTCGAGATTCTAGAATCTTTAAGAATAGTTGTTGACGACTTTTCTAGGAGAGCCGGAAGCGGATATGGCTATTAGTAAATGGTTTCTATGTGGTCATGAAGGTGTATTTGATAAAAACGAAGAATTGGCCTTCAAATACGCCCAACGGGCAGCAGCCGCAGGACTCGGAACCGCCGAATTTGCAATTGGTATAAAAAATCCAATTTAGGTGCCCAGAAAATTCCTGAATAGTTACTCACATTTTGAAGGATACTTTTACGAAATTGGGATGTATGTCCAAGTCGACTATAAAGAAGCTCAACGGTGGTATGCGAAGGTAAGCAAAGATAGATAGTAACAATAAAAACATCGCTAACTTAGAATCAGGCTGCGGCACATGGTAATAAGGATGCCAGTGGCCGAATTGACGGTATATCACGCTCAAAAACACTATCCCGAAAGGATCACGAGGCTGTTGCTATTTCAAAAATTAAAGCACGACACGGCTCCCAAAGACACCGCAATAATCCGCTTACGGAGAGGCAGCAATCTGCTGTAGCCCCAATTATGAGTCCGTTAGAAGAGGCCGTAGATATGCCCGATCCCACAATTCCTGGAGGTAATTACAATTATAATTCTGGTCCCCCACCTGGTCAACGCCCCATAAGACAGGCCACTATGCCAAACGTCAATCCCGGTTTTATTTCGCCAGAAATAGCTAGCCATCTGCAACCCTTTGGTGCCCCCCAGTCTCCTGCCCAAGCAAGGCCCGGTTCCGCTGCCCCTTACCCTCTCTCCGGCCCTGCTGGACCTGGACCTGGACCCCATCCGCGTGGGCCAGGTGCTTTTGGCCCGCAACCCCGACCGAGTACTGGAACGCCTGGAACTAACAGACCTTATTCTATAGTCATGGGTGGAGGACCTCCTCCTGGAATGATCCCCCCAGCAGGTACATATCCCGCCGGCCCACCTCGCCCGTTCACTGCCATGAGCGACAGCAGCCCTAGCCGAAGACCATCTGGTGCCGGTGGACAGCCATACGGCCCTCCGCCGCAACAACAAGGATACCCACCACATTCACCAGAAGCTGGCTATCCTGGAGGATTTAACGGCGAAACAGTTCCCCGCATTCATACCCCAAAACCGCCGGGACTCCCGTCAGGCCCTGCTCCCGTTAACATTGGGTTCGAGGCACCCGAGAGGCCAAAACCATCAAAGACCGCTCCTCCTAGTGGACCAATAGCACCTCCTCCTTCTAATAATGCGAATCCTGGTCGACCGGGAACATCTCAAGGTCCAGCCCCGCCAAGGCAGCAGCAGCAGCAGCAGCAGCAGCAACAGCCCATGGCGCCTCAACATGGAGGTGGGCAGGCTGGCCATGAACTTTTTGATGGGCCGCCAACCCCTACAAACAAAACTCAGAGACCAACCACAGCCGAGTCGGCACCAAAACCAGTTTCGGCACCACTACCTAAACCCCCAGGCAAGGGGCCTAAGACTTTTGAAGATATGGGTGTCCCTCAGGCCCCCAAACAAGATGGAGATTGCGTGAGTGTTCATTACCTCGAGGAACCAAGCAAATTAAAAATGTGTGTTTTGCTAATATTTTTGTGTGTTTAGATTATCATGTGAAACAACGATCCCTCCGGTTCTTTCCCACCCTTTCATCCCAGTTTTTTGTATTTGTGCCCAAATCGGGCTGGCGAATTGGTTGTACGGTGCATAATTAATATTTGAGAGCTATCTATGATGAGTGAAAGCGTGATTCTGGCGCATTATCATCGGATGGGTTTTTACCCCGTCTTCTTTTCTTTCTCTTTCTCTTTGTTTTGTCCTGTTCTATATCCTCCCATTGAATTTCGCTTCATTCCTTACCGCCTAATCTCTCATTTGCCATGTTTAATAAAAATAAATATGGTTTTATCAAATGAACGCCGGCATGGGCTACCATTATGTACCTGATCTTTCTTTTTTTTCTGGTTATTTTTTTTCTTTTCCCCAAACATTACTGTATGTACAATGATTTTATATCACATTTACTTGTCCTTTTCTTCTCATTTTGCAGTAAAAATACCTTTTTATAGAATGGAGTTTTTGAGATAATTAGATTGGAAAAAATTACTTAATCACAAATGTTCAAGCTTGTTCTGTCGTGGCCGATCTTGACGGGAAACAAAGGAGGCTATAACAATCACTGTAAATATGGCGCCCCCATGTGTCTTGAACTTGTTGCCCGGAGCGTGACCGAGTCATACCTTGTGACGCAATACACGTTCCTTGACCTCATTATGTAATTGTGTATGCAATTCACATTTTCCCTCTTCGACAAATATCATAGGCGTTTTTAGTTAGTCCCAAACACCGGTGCTGGACATGTGGCCTGGTGCAGGACAGACGCTCTCCATAAGCCGATGCAGGGCTGGATGCAATCCCACTCGAGGCTTTGTCCATCTCCACGCCCACAGCTGTAGGTCATCGACGAGACCTAATGATAGAGCCAGCCGCTTAGTGATGTCGGAGTCACTATACGCTCAAGCAGACTTGAGTCCTAGCTGGGCTTTGAAAGAGTCCGAAAGACTAAGACGTCTTGGTCTACAGTGGTCGCTGGTGGGGTTAGTTTTCTTAAACCTTGGTCCTCTCTTGGGTTTTGTGGTGCTGGTTTATAAGCACGCAAACACCAATTTAGGAACCCCCTCCCTGTGTGGTGTAGGGAGACGTTGGAGCAGTGGTTACATGTATGTGGGCATGTCGTCTGGTGGCGCGGGTTTGGTATCGTGTGCCTGCGGGGTTGGTCTACTACACGCACATCTAACCCTCTTCCTATTAGCAAATATCTAAAATGACACGTTTTGGTATAATAACACATGATGCAAAAAGACAGTGTTTGCTCGACCTTACGCCGAGAGTATAAAGATAATCGGGTAAAGCCAGCAATAAGGGTCGATTTCCAGCCCCACCACTCATCCCTTCCTCCCGTAGAAAAATCAAACATCAAAATAGCGTTCCTAATTTATTTTATTACAGGAAAAGGAAAAGAATAAAAGGTTCTACAAAACTACAAAAGGTACTGTACCGACTTATTCAGAAATTTGCGACTACTACCCCCACCCCTGGTTTCAACCCAGGGCCTTATGTGTGTTTGGTTGTATCCTGGGTACGCTCGGTGTTTGGCGAGCAGTCTATCCACTAGACCACCCGCCCATAGTGGATACTGCGCTGGAAGTGATATTTAATCTTGGCACACTGCCATGTGTTATTGTAGGGCGCGTCTACATACCGCCAAAACTCGAAAAATTGGCTATCTCCGGCCAGGGATTATCACTCGAGTGATTGGTTGAATGGCATCGATTTGCATCAGAAGTTTCCCATACAAGTAATTTTGATCTCTGGAAGCTAGCCAATTTTTCGAGCTATGGCGGTAGTATGTAATTATCATGCTACAGACGGTCCTTCCCATGATTACAGTTTTGCGTAAGATTAGATTGCGGATTCAAAAGAGTCTAACATAGTGCTCTCTCTTAGTAAGCTCTCTATATCGGTAAGAGTTTTGCCTACGGATATGACGTTTACTCAAGTTGCGTGCATTTCAAGTCATAATTTTTGATCGCGTCATAGCCAATCACTCGATTGCCAAGAACACGACTCTCCGTGCTCTAAGCGTCGACACTCTTTAAGGTAAATTACATGTACCCAAATATACGAGTTACCAAATCCATATAGTTACATCACGCAGTGTTTAAGTCAGTGTGACTAATACGACAGAGATACCTACGGGTATCAGCGCCTTTTTCGGGAGCTCGAGTGTCACTCCTTAAAGTTACTAGCTACAGTCACTCGCCACTAGTCACACTTCACCCGCGCATCGACCCACAGATTCTACATCCACGCCGCCCCCAAGAGCTGTTAACGTTGGACCCGGGTGGCTGAGGGTGACATGATATGTAATCTTTATTTATCGCACCCCGTCTCTGATGATGTAATCTCGGTGTGTGAGTGTGCGCGCGCGCCGGGTCCATCCGGAGTGAGAATCTCACCCTGTGTCTAGCTTTAGGGGCGCTGGCGTACTGTGCTACGCTGGTCCCGTGTCTGTTGGTTATGGGGCAGTATGTATGTAAGCCGTGTTTACTCACCGGCACTGCTTTACATACGCGTATAGTAACGCCGGGAATTCGGTTTGGGGCGTGTAACGTCGAGGTGGAAGTACTGCACACTTGTCTTTATGGGCTCCGTACCACGAACTCTTGACGTGGGCTGGCAACTACAACGTACGTATAAACTTCTCCAAGCGTTCACTCAACCCCGGATATCAGGCGTCTTTGATGTCTTGTGTATTGAGGAAAGCATGTAGGTGAGTCTAGACCCACCGCGGGCACGGGTGTGTCTGGTATCTTGTTTCAAGGTGGTGAAAGGCTTAGAACACCCCGCAGGGTATTCGGTCTCAGATGACAAGAGCCGGACAGTGCAGTATCATCCTCATGGCGCAGGGACAGCCATGGCTTGTCCTAGGTAGCAAGCAGGCCCACCGTCGGGAGCTAAGAGTACCGCCGGTGCGGCGTCAATGGTATAGCTCAACAGGCGGCGGATACGGTCCTGGTAGCGAGGCTGTACTTGGGGATAGGAGAGGTAAGCTACATACATGTAGCTAAAGAAAAGGATTGAGTAAGCAAGCTCCCCAGAACAATCGTGCTCGAAGGGTTTTGCCCACACCCGCGGGAAGTCGAGACCCCACATCTTCACAAACAACACACCTCAGCGGCCCGGAGCTAGCGCCCCTCATTTCGCCAGCCCACCAAAGAATCCGCATCACAAACCATCACTCGATCCCACTCCTCTCCAACGAGCCAGATCTCCACCAAAAAGCCAAAACTGCCGATCCGCAAGAAAAACAAGCATAACCTGCAGCTTGCCCCCCTACTCTCCCTACATACATCTCTTCCCCTACATACGTCGTCGCTGCGAGACAGAAGAGCCTGATCGACGTCGGAAATAAGCGTCGCCTGCATATCATGGGGGGTACAGGTGGTTGGCATCTAACGTTAACGCCGATCTCTTATCGCCCGCGCGTATACATACGCCTCCGATCAGATATGATATGAGGGGTCGGGTCGGCAGTGAGTGCATGGGAGTCCTAACCCTATGTATGGGGGGGAAAGTGATGTTCTGTATTTGCACTTACGGAGGCCGCGGAGGGGCTGTGGGGGGGAGGGGGTGAAGGGGCGCTATATATAAATATCACAGGTGCTGCTGCTGTCGATTACTCTAGATTGACTGCAAGTACAGAGAGGGGGGCCTGCAGGGCCGTTTGTAAGCTACATATGTATGCTAAGCGGGTGGTACAGCGGCTGGGCTGACTGGTAAATATTATCTACCTACATACATGACATTGATTTTGAAAAGAAAGTAAAAACGAATAGAATAATCGATGCTGAGAAAAAGAGGGGTGGAAATAAAGTATGAGGGGAGAGGTAGGGAGAAAGGTAGTGTCTATGGAGGTAGATAATTATGTCTGTGCGTGCCGTAGCTGTGGTAGAGTAGTGAAGGTACATGTGAAGTCATGTCATGGTCACCCTTATCACGTCAGGTCCGTGGTTTCGTCATATACAACGTCTGCAAAGATCCTCCTCCTGCAGAAGGATGGGAGGAGGAGATAAAAAAAGAAAGTAAGGAAAGAAGAAGAAGAAATCAGATAACGCCGTACTGTAGATAACAACCCCAAGAATAGACACAAAAGAGAAAGATATAATAATAAGTAGGAGAACAGGGAAGATATTCGAAAAGGGGAGGGTGCGGGGAGTAAAAGGGGTGGAAGGCCTGAGGAAGGAGCTCATCCAATCCGCCAGAGCTCCACCCCAATAACCTCAAACTTCTCTCCTTCCTCCGATAACGGCTCGTTGCCAAACGTCATGCAGCTCTGCGACACCCCCTTCTCGAAGATGTCGTCAAGCCACAGCCCGTACTTGCCGTCACTAGCATCAAATCCATATCAGCTCGGGATTCGCCGGAGGAAGAGGTGGGATTAATTTAAATCGGGAGGGGAGAAAAGGTGGGAGGGGAAGTGGAAGGGGAAGGGGGCATATTTACCCTCCGCCCACTGATAACGACGTGTTATCGCACAAGATCATATAATCATTGATACCGCTATACGGAAACGCCTTGAACCGAATCCTGTCCGTATTATCCGGCGTCGACGTTCCCGACGCCGACGCCCGAGTCGGCAGTATCGACGCCTTCCAGAGGAAACACTCGCCGGTGCCGTAGTAGCGCCCCGACGGGTGGAAGGGCTCGTTGACGAAGGCGCCAAAGATCTACAAATATATATATAACACCACCTGTTAATAAACGACCTCACTTTTTACTAACGACCCATCCGTGCAGCACCAATCAAACGAAACACAATACCGTGGAGAGGGGGGGGAACCTACCCCGCCAGCAGAATCCTTAACCACGAGGACAAAGCTCCCCTTCATACCGCGGCGATAGAGCGTCGCTAGGCTGACGCCATGCTGCTCCAGCGAATAGGCCAGCGTCCAGTTCTCGTGCAGCTGCAGGCGCGCCGGCAGTAGTAATCGGATCTCCTCGGCGAGGGCGCGGGAGAGCAGGCGAGAGTTTGTGGATGGTGCGTAGCCGGTGATCTGGAGGGGCGCGAGCGGCGGGGGTGAGAACGAGGACGACGAGGGCGACGTCAGCGCGGGTGGGAGCGAGGCAGGCCGCATTTTCTTCTTCTTTGCGGCGGCGGCGGGGGTGGTGGAGGTGTCGGAGGTGAGGCGGTGGAAGGTCCATGTGAGGGCGGAGGTGATGGTTCCGGGAATACTGGGTAATGAGGCTGATGCGGTGCTCATGATTGTACCGGTGGGTGGGAATGGTATGGAATGGTAGGGTATGATGTAGGTGATGTAGTTTCAATGGGGGTGTTTTTCTTTCTTGCTTTTTTGGTTATTTTGGCTCTGGAGGTACTCCGGAGGTTTGGGGGCCGGGAATTCTCGTTTCTTTCTTTGATTAGCTACAAGGAAGAAAGTGGAGGAAGAAGAAGGGCCTTTGAAGAGGGGGGGCGATTAAAGCTGTGGAATTGAAAACGAAATCGAAGGGGGCAGGTAATCAATGATCAACGATGCCTGCTGTATGTAGGTACTTTGAGTGAGTGAGTGAATGCTAGCTATCTATGTAGCTGGGACTTGTATGTATGTGTGATAGTATAGTATGTACCGTACCTCTCTTGCTGTAATTATATGTAGAGTATAGAGTATATATATGTAGGGTAGATTATGTATGCAGGTAGGTAGGTGCCTGTAGGGGGTTGTAGAGGATTGTAGAAGCTAACCTCTGACTGATTGACTGACTGATGATGCTTGCTAGCTGCGAGGCCACGATAGATAGATTATATTCCCGGTGTCGTGTTCTGTCGACAGGCTCCACCTTGCTCTAATTATATGAATCACCTCACAGAGACAGACGAACAGACATGGGATAGATAATGGATAATGCTCTATGGTGTTCACTGTGCAGCGCAGCAACAGCAACAGCAACAGCAACAGCCAGAACTAGCAGAGGCGGTGGTGGACAGGCGTTGAAACTCGTTGTTGTGCCTGTAAGTCTTACGTACATGGACGTAACGGAGCCTTTCCCTCGCTCTTCTCTCTCTGTCTGTCTGTAGCGCTAGCCAATTCTAGAGATGAAGCCAGTAATATAAATATTTGTGTCTTCTCGGCGTTTCCTTTAATTTGCCTTTGCCTAATAAACGTTTGCACAACACAGATTGACTTTTTTTCCTATGGCTGCATATACATATACATATACATATACACATAGCATAGCAGCAGCACGCAGCATGTGGCAGGCAGATAGAGTAAGGCAGATAGATTGAAGGTCGACTCAAGCATATGCCATTACACGAGATTCAGAGTCTGAGTGGTGATGCCTCGCGTGCTGTTTTTTTCTTTTTCTTTCGCCAATTGTGCAATTAATAATATTTAACGTACAATTGCATACTTAACCCACAGCCTACTCTATTATGCGTCCACTGATAATGTGGGTATCACGGGCTCAATGCTCACCAGAAGGTTTGTTTACCGTCATACCATCCATCGACGGCAATTGGGCACAGGGTGGCGACACACGGACCGACCGGTAATAAACCATTTGGGTTGGATCTGAGCTCCACGGGGACGGGCAGACGACAGGAGGGAGGGGAAGTGGAATGGAAGGGAAGGGGAGGAAGGAAGGCAAGTCACAGAAAGTGAGTCGAGTGGGTGTCATTCGAAACCCGACCCAATGCAATGGAGAGAAGAGGTTTCAAGCGATTGGCCCATTGGGGTGTTGGCAATTGGGTAGAGACCTGACCTTCTGTCTTTCCCCCCCTCCTCTCTTCCAATCCATCCATCCATCCACAGGAAAACGGTATTTTTGGGCGGCCGGGCCCGTGTTATTAGGAGGGACCAGTAATATGCCGAGGCTGTGTACTATGCAGCCTGGCGCTTCCTCAGTAGGTAAATACGGTAGAGCATCAGCGCCGGCGGTGGTGAGTGGGCCCAGGGAGAGGGGAGAGAAGTGAGTGAGATCTTAATCTGGAATTGGACAGGATTACGGGCCCGCGGGAGGGGGGGTAGAGAGCGTTATCTCCACAGGCATTTTTTTATTTTTTTCTTTCGCACTATTCTTTGCTCTCGTTCTGTTGGGTGGGTGGGTGCGATGGCCCGGCTGCAAGGTGTGGATGGATACGGGGGTCATGGTTGTTGTTGTGGTTGTATTTACTTATTTATTGAAACAACCCCCCAACGTCGTCGTTCAGCTGCGAAACATCCCGGGAAAGTGGACGTCAAGACGTAACTAGAGTCTAGCGGGCTTTCTTTCTTTATGGTTTCTGCAACGAATTGAAAACTCCATGTAGATATCTCTCTCGGCGTATTCTTCTTAGTCTTCTTGTTCTTCGTTTTGGTTCTCCTTCTTCTCCTCACCTTTCTTAATAGTTTGGTTCGATTCACTCATTCGTTCGTCACCCCCGGTATCTGTGTCCCGAGTTAAGTTGCTGCCCAGGTGCTAACTGCAACGGTAGACTTAGATACAATACTTACCTCATCTCATCTCGTACCCCCTCCACGGTCCACCCCCCAAATCTCTTCCTACATCACCACCACCGTTACCATTTCAATAACCACCACCCCATCTCTCCGATCTTCTCTGCCGTTGCAACAATATTAAACCCCCTCCTTCCATTCTTTCCAGCCCCCCTCCCCTCCCCTCACTCTCTTGATCGCTATCGTTACTCTTCCGCGGCAATTTTTTCATTCACAACAACAACCCATGGGCAGTGGACTATAATCCACAAAGAAACGAGAGAGCGAGAGCGAGCGAGATAGAGACCCTGGCACGAGAGCTGCACGGCTTTGCATCTCCTGCGGGTGTCACTACTACTCAACCCCCCCCCCTCACACTCCAACAACCTTTCCACCACACGCACCCCCCATGCCCGGAGAGCTCCTCGTATCATCCGCGCCAATGGAGGTCGACTCTGCATCCAGCAGCAGCACTACAACGCTCACGCTCCAAAAGAAGCTTGCCGGAAATGTCGCGAAGAACACGATCGATCTGTACCTGATCTCCGATGAGGACGCGCATTACGAGCAGGAGATCCTGCGGGATCCCTACTCCTCGCTGAAGCCGTGGATGAGGTATATCGAGTACAAGATGAAGACCGGCAGCATCCAGGAGCAGGTCTTTGTCTTTGAGAGGGCTTGTAAAACGCTCCCGAGGTCGTATAAGTTATGGAAAATGGTGTGTTTTTATTCACGTCCCGGAACACTTTTTTTTTGCAACTGTCTTGCTGACGCGTCTTGGCCACGGTAGTATCTTGATATTAGAGTTAAGCACGTCTCGCCCCTTAACCCGGCTAGGTATAGAGCGGAGTATGAGAAGGTCAACGATTGCTTTGAGCGCTCACTTATCCTGCTCAACAAGATGCCCCGCATCTGGACCGATTACCTCTCTTTCTTACTCAAGCAGTGCCATGTAACCAAGACCAGACGTACCTTCGACCGTGCCCTCCGTGCCCTCCCCCTAACTCAACACAACCGCATCTGGGCCCTCTACATTCCCTTCGCCAACTCGGCCTCCGGAGAAACCGCTATCAGGATATGGAGGCGGTACATGCAGGTGCACCCGGAGGAGGCCGAGGAATTTATCGAGCTGTTGGTCGAGATGGGGCGGTACGAGGAGGCAGCGCAGAAGTGGATCCAGGTTTTGGACAACCCAAACTTCCGCAGCAAGCAGGGAAAGAGCCATTTCCAGATGTGGAGCGAGCTGTGCGATCTCCTCGTTGACAATGCAAGGGAGATCAAGAACATCGATGTGGAGAAGATTGTCCGGAGCGGGATTGGAAAGTTCAGCGACCAGCGGGGGAAATTGTGGACGTCGCTGGGAACTTATTGGATCTCAAAGGGCGACTTTGAAGCTGCTAGAGATGCGTTCGAGGAGGGTGTTACTACCGTCATGACTGTGCGCGACTTTACGCAGATTTTCGACTCGTACACCGAGTTTGAGGAGTCCGTTATTGGGACTTTAATGGAGGATGCTGCTGAGCGGCAGATAAAGGGGAAGGTTGACGAAGATGCGGATTTCGACCTTGATATCCGCATGATGCGCTTTGAGCAGCTAATGGACCGACGACCGTTCTTGGTTAACGATGTGTTGCTAAGACAGAATCCCAACAACGTTATTGAGTGGGAGAAGCGGGTTGCGCTTTGGGGTGATAACAAGACGCAGATTGTGCAGACATACACCGATGCCGTGGCAGCCGTTAGCCCGAAAAAGGCGGTGGGACAATTCCACTCGCTTTGGGCTGGGTACGCTAAATTCTACGAGAAGCACGGGGATATTAGGCAGGCACGGATGATCATGGAGAAGGCCGTTCGAGTCCCGTTCAAGTCGGTACAGGAACTTGCAGAAATGTGGGTGGAGTGGGCCGAATTGGAGCTCCGTAATGATAACTTTGACGAGGCCGTCAAGATTATGGCTAAGGCTACTCAGGCGCCAAAGAGAAGCACGGTCGATTACTTTGACGAGACATTGACTCCGCAGCAGAGGGTGCACAAGAGCTGGAAGCTGTGGAGTTTCTACGTTGACCTGGTGGAGAGTGTTAGCTCATTGGAGGAGACAAAGAAGGTCTATGAGAGGATTTTTGAGCTCAGGATTGCGACACCACAAACTGTTGTGAATTATGCTAATCTTCTTGAGGAGAACAAGTATTTTGAGGAGAGTTTCAAGGTAAGAACTCTGATGTGTCCGATCTATAAATAGGCACATGCTGATCTTTACTAGGTTTACGAACGAGGATTGGATCTATTTTCCTACCCCGTTGCATTCGAACTATGGAACTTGTACCTCACCAAGGCCGTCAACCGTCAAATCGACATTGAGCGACTCCGCGACCTCTTCGAGCAAGCCGTCGAGGGCGTCCCACCCAAGTTCGCAAAGGTTCTCTACCTTATGTATGGCAACCTCGAAGAGGAGCGCGGTCTCGCTCGCCACGCAATGCGAATCTACGAACGCGCCACTCGCGCCGTTGCCGATGAAGATCGCTTTGAGATGTTTGACTTTTATATTACTAAGTCTGCCTCTAACTTTGGTCTTACTTCTACGAGACCCATCTATGAACGTGCCATCGAAGCACTTCCCGACAAGGAGGCTAAGGAAATGTGCCTCAAATTCGCTGAGATGGAGCGCCGCCTTGGCGAGATTGACCGTGCCAGAGCAATCTACGGCCATGCATCCCAGTTCTGTGATCCCCGTATCAGCCCAGAGTTCTGGAGCAAGTGGGAGAGCTTTGAGATCCAGCATGGTAATGAGGACACGTTTAAGGAAATGCTTAGAATCAAGAGAAGTGTGCAGGCACAGTATAACACCGACGTTAACTTCATTGCATCCCAGGCCTTGGCAAGAGGGCAGCAGAAGGGCGCACAGGATGAAGATGACGAGGATGATGAGAAGGCTGATGCCATGGCTGCGCTTGAGAGGGAGGCGAGAGCGCCACAGGGCTTTGTGGCTGCAAAGGAGGGCAATATTGTCCCAAGTGCGCCCAAGAATGCACCAAAAGTTGATAGCAACCCAGATGCTATTGATCTAGATATGGAAGGCTAGATTAGACTAGACATCACGTGGTGGATTATTATGAGACCTTATATACCTAGTCTAGTGTTATTTTTTCTTTTAGGCGTAGTGGTTGGTGGAAGGGGACCGGGGAGGCACAGTTTGTCATCGTTAAATCGTATCTTGTAACCTGTGATTATTGTATTGTGTGCAGCTGGTTGGTTGGTATTTCCTTTTTTTTGTGTTTTCCTAGTCTGTTAGGGCGGGTCTGCGAGGCGTTTTACTTTTTTTATATTTTTTCTTTCTCTTTTTCCCGCATTTTCTTTTTCTTACTATTATTACTGCTACTACTGCAACTATGAAACTCTCCTCGAACGGATGCGCGCGCCTCTTTTTTTGACAATCGATGGCCCATTGCGACATTCTACACACCCTCACTATACTACAGATCTGATCTCACTCATTCACACTCATTCACACTCACTCACTCACTCACTCTCACTCATTTATTCACCTCTCATTGGCTCTCTCTAACTATACCTACTACATTCGTTAGATCTAAAACTCTCATATACATGTCTATTTTTCTTTTTCTTTTCCTTTCTGGGGTTCAGTATGTAACTGTCTGTTAGTACTGTAAATAAACTAGCCAGCCTAGTTCTAGTTCCGCATCAAAGGCTCTCTGTCCTGTCCTGTCCGGTTCTGTCCCCTTGCAGTCTGTACTAGTAGGAGTCGATTATTGTACCGTAGAGCTTACTTACTTGCTTACTGTTTTTGTGTTTAAATAGAGGACATAGATTGGGTTTTCCGGGGGGCGGGGGAGGGCATATAGGGTTTGGTTTTTTGGCCGGTGTAACTTATCTGCTCTAGAGTATAGTTGCATATATCAATCATGTGTGCGGTGAGGTTCCGAGATGTGTGTAACTATCGGAACACGCTGCGCAGCTGGGGATATACGGATGGGATGGGATGGGATAGGGGCTCTATATACGTGGTGATAAAACAGACAGCTGGCCACCTAGCTTGTCCGTCGCCTGTCTCAAATCGAATTGAATCGTGGGGTTCGAGTCTTACCTCTATATATATACACTCATAAACTCACGATAGTACATATCAAAATCAATGTCCTACGCCCTCCACCTCCTCCTCCACCTACTCCTCCTCCTCCTCCACTACCCACCACCCACGCACCCACTCCCTTACACACCCACACACCCACACACGCTCCTCACCCCGTCATGCCCCCCGCGCCCCCCTCCACGCTCGGCACAAAATGGCACACCACAAACACCTGCTACTACCCGTCTAAGTACCTTCCCACCTCCTTCACCTGCGAGACGTCCGCCGCGTCGCCGCTGACGGCGGACGTGCTGGCGGCGATGGACGACCTGCTGGCGAGGAAGGGCGAGTTCTGGTGCGAGCAGGAGAACCCGGGCGGGAGCCGGTGTACGCAGGTGGCGAGGGGGGTCGCGATATGTGGGGCGCTGGGGAGTCGCATGCAGTGTAAGGTGTTGGTGGGCGTGGTAAGGGGGTTGGTGGAGTGGTGTCCCGGGGATAGGGTGGGGGGTGTGGTGGAGGTGGGGATGGAGGAGGTGGCGGGGGTGGTGAGGGTTGTGGGGAGGAGGGTGGTGGTTTATTAGGTTGTTGTGGTGGTGATCATTGGCGGTGATCATTGGCGGTGATCATTGGCCGGTGGTGATCATTGGCGGTGGGTCATGGTTGGTCACTCGGTCTGGTGGTTTTGTGTTTTGGTGGCGTGAACGCGCGGGTGCGTGGGGAGGGCTTGTGTTTTTGTTTTGGAGGATACTTGTGGTGCGGTGGGGACACTGGTGGAGCTGCTTTGTGGCGAGTATAGATAGGGCGTTGTGTGGTGGACGCTGAGGTTCAAGTATAACCTTTTCAATTGAGCCACAGACCATTGTAGGTACTCTATCCGACATCCTGAACCTTGACCCTCTAGCCATAATTGTACTTTGATAGGCTCTATGAGTATTCATATTATCCCAAAGATCATACACTCTGGAGTCCCGTGCCTAGATGCACTTCTATCCCATACCCACTCGTTCCTGGTGTGTTTATGCTTAATTACTATATTCTGAATACGTGCCTACGAAATCAGTTCATTGTAGTCCGCCAGTCAATCCATCCATATAATAAGCTTTGACTAAAAGCTAAACGCCTCTCTTTCTCAAAAAGTGTATCTGCTTGAAGTCATAACGTAATTCAGCCATGTCAGCAGGTCATATGATCACGGGGCCCAGGATAGAGTTGTGTAGTCAGGTCATATGACGTGACGTGAGGCGAGGTTGTAGTCAGGATAAAGTGTAGTGGTCAGTCGGGAGATTTGAACAGTCTCGAGATCTCGGTATTGTTTCATTCAGCTGGGATTGATGCATTCGGGTGGTTTGGCGTTGTGGTTGAGACTACATGTAACTTTGCAGTATTCGGAGGATGTGGTTGAGATGTGACTTATTGTCCACTGGGGGAATAGCTTTTGGGACTGGGAAGATGTGGCTGAGAGGAGACCCATGGGTTGCTCAGAGGTGAGGGGCTAAGTATCTCTTGGGCCTTCTGCCGGGTGCGCCGGTATGGCAATTTCATCATGGATTATCACTCGCATTATCGGCTCCCTAGTTGTGCGATTAGAGTCGTCTTCAGGATGGCCGTTGCGGGTTGTGGATGAGTATGGGGCCGTTCTGTGCTTGTGATCTTCTTCACTGCGGTTGGATGGTGAGTGTGTGTAGCTGCTGATGAAAAACCCGGGTCTGCTGCGTGCCGGTGGGTCGGGGACAGAATATCTGTGAACCGCCGACGAACAGCGCTATTCCGGGCACCAGCGGATACACGCCGCTCAGGGTAACAGGAAAGTGAAATCACTCGTAGCGCAGCGCTCACAAGTACTACTGCATGCTGACTTCAACATTTCTAAACCTACGGCCGGTCAAGATGTATATGAATCTTTAATAGTGTAAAACTGTGCTACTGGATCATAGCCTGAAAGAGGCGAGAGGGGGAGAGGCGAGAGGGGGAGAGGCGGAGAGGATCTCGCTCGAGTTGATGATGGTAAAGCTTGATAATATATTGAAGATAGGTTCTCTCAATCCGATCGTCCCTAGAAATAAAAAAGTATATCAAGATGACTACATATTTCAATTACTAATATTAATCAGAGCTCGAGCCTATTTTCAGCTATACTAATGAGCGGTCGAGCCATGCCCCCGAGCTCGAACATCCCGAGCCTTCCTTTCTACAATCCAAGAAAGCTCGAGCTCTATGTCAGGCTCGTATCGAACAGGCTCGTGCCCAATACTAGCTCGAATATTCATAACGCATTCCCTCATATTCCTTGCTACATGACATAGTTAAGGAAAGGCTTAGCAGGCGGGTGTTCTGTAACGTCCACACTCCTAAGAGTCAGATATATATCCTCCTAATCATGATTAGAATATACATGTTCTTTAAATCCTACGTACAGTACGATGCCAGTCGTGAGGGTCAGGTGCAGCGTCGCAACGCCCCCCGAACCATCACGGGTACCAGCACAGCAGCCACAATTGATCCTTTGGAGAGGTGAATTTTTATATAGTTGTTAAATAGTAGATAAATAACAATAATTTGACATTTAATATCTTGTGTACCAACCCACCGTGAAAAGGTTGTGGAAATCGGGTTGCGCGCGCGGCGTTGCGGCGCCGCGCCTGACCCTCACGACTGGCATCGTACTGTATCTACCACGTATCTTTTAGGTGTTCCGCCGGGTATATAGGAGGGTGTCTTCAGTCTTATTCTCCACGAATCTCAAACTATTAAGAGCCATTGTATAGTGTTTACACTCAATAATCGACTTGGTGGGGAAAGTTGGCGATGTCCAGTTCTAAGGAACTCAATACCATGGCATCCGAGATGAAGAGGATAAGGAGTATTGAGAGAGGAGGGTGCCTTAGTTCAAGGACTACCTACACTTTGCAACTTGAGACGAGAAACATAGCCATACCCTCGTGTCATCATTATTCCGGCCAGAGATTCTGGGTTACTAACCACCTTCACGAGAAGAAGAAGAAGTGTGACTTTGAATTGAGGACTTCTCTCCTAAAGCTCGAGGTTTAGAAAGAACGCAGGCCCAGAACTACGCGGCGAGTATTGTCCGAAGAAATGCTGACTGGTTACCCTGGATCTTGCCAGGCACTGACTGTATGCCACTAAGTAAACATTGTCACGATTCGGCAGTTGAAGAAGAAGTAATAGGAAGCGTCACTTTTCTTCAGCGAGGACCCCCTATAATGGTTCTAGGTGGGGCGACAGGAGAGCGGCTTTATTCACTACTGGAATTCATTGTGCGGCTTTCTGTTGAGCTTAGGCCCAATGTCTTAAGATATACATGTAGGGTGTAACATTCAGGTAAGATCTTTCTATGATGATTTTATTGCGCATATCAAGAGGGAAGGTGGTTGTACCTTGAATTGACTTTAAGGTACTGACAGTGTCTACTTGTTGATTCTGATTCGAAGAAATACTAATTGACGCCCCAAGTCATAAGGGGAAACAGAGTCTTAAATTCATGTGCCCAATAGTAAGTATAATAAAACCAATTCTTACGTACTGATTTTGCTGTGGATACATCGTTAATTGGTCGGTGGTTTTGGTCAATGGTTCAACCTACGGATAATTCTACTGGTGCAATCTCAATCACCAACAAGCACTCGCACGCCCTAGCCAGCTTGGCAACGTCCCCAAGCCAACGTTAATAAGTAATTAGACTGAGCTAGAGCTAGGAGGGAAATGATTGGTTCGCGGTTCTAGCTCCAACTCAGCTTTTCAAGCTGGGAAAAAGGGCGTTTGAAGAGTTTAGAGCGAGTGTGAACCGGGGTATAGCCCTGCAAGCGTAGAAGCGAATATATAAAAAAAAATTTGAGACTGCTCCTGTTTTCATCAAGATGTCCCAAGAACTTCATTTTCCGATCGATCCTTCACTTTTGCGCGTTGCGCAACCTCTACTCCCAATGTTACATGGGGCTATGGGACTATGGGCGTAGGCGAGGACGTGGACATCAGCAAAAAATGGAGTCTCATCTTGGGGCGCCGGGGCCCAGACGCCCCAGACGCCCCAAGACTTTTCTTACATGTAGCTCGTCTCTTTGCAAAAAGACGACTAAAGACGCTAAGATTCTCGTCTTTTGGCGTCTTTAGGTAAATGCGCATCCGGGCGTCGATGCAGGTAGGAGGTAGGTGTCGATCCTTGAGATGTTGAGAGCGCGTCAGATCTGATGTCATTTGCTAGTGAGGTTAGGACTAGCGACGATGTGTCACATTTTGGGAGGCGATAAGGCGTCAAAAGACGAGGTATCACATTTTGGATGCTTACTAGGCGCCAAAAGACGACATGCCACATTTGGTAGCAGCGGGACGAGGTTTTGGAAGCAAAAGACCAAAAACATCCTTGGAGATCTTCAATAAGGCATCCTTTGCTTTTGTTTTGTATAATTCAAAGTTCCCTAAATCTGAAGAAACCCAGTCGATAAGAAGAAACTCAATGTCCTAATTGGTCCAGCGGGGTAGACGCCTTCACGGGGGGGTATGGGCCGGGTGTGGGGCAACAACTAATATCAAAAAATGAGAGCAGGATACATGAAGAATATCACATAAGGCATAGATACATTTCTCTGTATCATATAATTATATATAAAGAATTCTGTTCAATTGCCTCCCGCAGGAAAGCACCATACCCCAGTTCGCCCCATACCCTCATAAAAGCGTCTAGAAGTTGTGGTCATATGCGGGGTCTCAGTTTGAGAATACGTACCACTATTTGGACCACAACCAACGAATTAAGTCTGGCCACTTACATTCGGCATACGGTCTTCAAATAAACCTACCGCGTATGGCGCGAGAAGGCATAGGGGGTGGGTGTGTCAACTTCAGAGGAACTTTGTTTGTATGGGTATTAGAGAAAATTCCACCGTTAACTTGGGCTAGGCGCTAGTACCTTTATGGCAGTAGATCTCCCAATTTCTATAGATTGATTGGCTGCAAACGCCGAAGTTTACACACCTACCCATCGAGCCATATTCTTTTACTCTAGAAGACTCTGGCACAGCTTTCAGCCGCAGTTTGACTCATGTCGAGGGTGTGTTAGTCCCAATACAGGTTTCAATATTTGGCAGATTAGGCAACCAGTGCTAAGAGCTAGCTAGGCAACCAACATCGGCACCGTAGTAGTATCCAGAGCTTGCTAGAGCTAGGCCTATATTAAATAATTGGTTGAATGGCATAGATCTGCATCAGAAGTTCCCCATACAAGTAATTCTGATCTAGCCAATGAGTTATGGCGATAACTCAAAGACCTCTGCGTAGCTAGGGATAGGTAAATATATCTTAATGGTAGGCCTGATACCATAACCGTAGGGTTGTAAGCAATTAATTAATGAATTAAAACAAAACAAAACAAAAAACCTGATCTGATTGAAAGATAAGTCTATAACTAGGCTCGTCTCCAACCCGTCTGCTTTCATGCTTCTGTGGGCAGCTTGCTGCAAGTAACAGGCGAGGTACGAGACTAGTATATAACCACCCTCTACTACTCTTACTCTTACTCCCCTATCGATTAAGCTATGTCCTATATATCCCATATGTCTCTACGGGGTGGGGCTCCCGCCCGCGTCAACCCCTACCTCCTCTCTCGCCTGCACAATGATTATAAAGACCTCGTCGAAAACCCCTACCCAGGGGTTCACATGATCCCCCACGAGCAGGACCTACGCAAGTTCTGTCTCGTCCTGACGCCGCAGAGCGGGCCGTTCCTAGGGCTGCGTCTTCACTTTTCCGGCAGCCTGCCAGTGACATGGCCCGCAGACCCGCCGGCGTTGTCGAGCTCGACTTACATAAGGCATCCAAATATCTATGGCGAGTTTATCTGTTCGGATCTGTTGAGCATGATCAATATGGCGAAATGGAGGGGTATATGGGTGGGTATACGCCGGCGTTTACACTCAAGGGGCTGTTTATTCAGTTCTTATCGTTCTTTTCGTCGGAGCAGGTAATTGAACACCCCTCCCCAACCCCCCCCCCCCCCCCCAAGAAAATGATCAAAGGATAATATAGCTAAAAAGGCGATTCTTCACAAATAGGTTGAGCAGGAACATGGTCCCCCTGTCTACATCGGTGGTCGCTTCCACAAGGTCTTTGTCCCCATGTGGGAATTCCGGGGCGCCAGAATCAACACTTTCGTCGGGTCCAATGACAGCCCCGCCAGCGCCCCGCGCCGCTTCGACGACGCAGCCTACATGGCCGAATTTGAAGACGGCGGGTACGAGGAGCGCGTGCTTGAGCGGCACTACACACAGCAGGGCTGTGAAGGCCTGGTGACTGTATGGCGGCCCAATGCCAGTGGCCCGTTTGCGAATGTAAAGATCACCTGGGAGAGTAATAGGTTTCTCGAGACGCGGAGGGAGTCCCATTACTTTATATGTGAGGAGTGCGAATATGGGACGGCCTCGATGCCAAGGACGGTACCCGTCGAGGTTCCTGAGGAGTATATGGACCAAGGCAGCCCGTTTAGGGAAGATATGGAGTGGGGTATATCTTCGAACGTGAGGGAGATTATGGGGCTGAGGTGGGGGCTCCCTGAGGTGAAGAAGCAGAGCTCAAGCAAAGCCAAAATCTGTTACCTGGGGATTCTCAACGATGATGTGCTCCTTGACATCGCAAAAGCTCTGCCTTCAGAGTCCCTGATAAATTTCGGAAAGGCATTCCCGCGCATGCGCGAGCTTACCACACATCACCACATCCTCCTACAGCGGGAGCTTTGCTGCTTCTTTCTCCGGACGCCCCTACACACGCCTTTCAATCTCCTCGGTGTCGGAGTGCACGTCAACGGGGAAGCAGGCACGCTCGAAAGCTCGTTCGACTGGCTCTCTATGGATGCCTTCGAGAAGTTCAAGGTACGAAAAAGCGTCGATAAGAAGCCGTTCGAGTTCTTTCTCCCGCTCGGCTTCAGCCCAGCTCATTTTGATAGGGCTTACAGCAGTAACAAGCTGTTTGAGTATCTTGACCTGATCGACACTACAAACACAAGGAGGCGGGGGGGCCCTGGGCCCGGCAACACCCTATTCGCGTTGAATAGTGCCGAGAGACGCATAAATGTGCTATATAGATTCTGTAACTCCATTGTTGTATCGTTGATGCGTGCTACAGATGAGCTTTACTCTGACGGGGCTGTGGGGGGTGCGGGGGGTGCGGGAAAGGCGGGCAAGACCCTGCTGTTTGCGAGTGAGAAGGCATGCATTGGATACCTCCAGATATACCACTTGTTGCTTTGCATCATGCGCCGAGAGCCAGAGCTCCGTAGGAGAGCGCTGGAGAGGATAAAAGCTTTCTGCGCCGAAGATCGAAACAGGTCAAAGTCTTCAGTCCCTGATCTCGGGGAATTTATAGTAATGGCCGCGGTGGTTGCAGGGAGTGACAGCCCAGCTTCAGCTGTCAAACCCACCCTAGCATCATTCGGCGGGGGGCGTAGGGCCGAGGCCGAAGAAAGCTGGGGCATTTCCGGGCAGAGAAGGCGCCAGCTTGAGAGAACAGGAAGCAGTACCTCATGGGCCGCGGTGGCTGCAGGGAGGGGCAACCCAGTTTCAGCTGTCAAACCCACCCTAGCATCATTCAACGGAGGGCGTAGGACCGAGGCCGAAGAAGGCTGGAGCATGGCCGGGCAGAGAAGGCATCAGGTTGAGAGAACAGGGAGCAGTATCTCATGGCGGACGCACCTCGTCGGGCCCTTCACCGACGAAGTCTTCACCCGCAACGTGCGCTGGGCAATCCAAAAGTACTCCACCCTTGCCAATAAGTATAGCGTCGAACCCAGCGAGCGGGTCCGCAAGACGTTTGACGCGAGCAGGACCTCGCTCCGGTTGGTGATGTTTCAGGTGTTCTTCCTGGAGACGTTTACGGCCGAGCATATCACGCGGCAGATGGACAGACAGTACGGGTTTGCGGGCCCGGAGGTGCCGGCGATGATTACGAGGGGGATTAAGGAGATCTATGAGGTTAATGGGTATAAGCAGTTCTGTGAACGGGTTGGGTTTAAGGGTGCGGTGGGGAGCGGGTTGTGGACCGAGGCGATGAGTAGGGTGCTGCTGGCGGCGGTGGAGAGGAGTGAGATGAAGGGGTATCATCGTGGTTAGCATACATCTATCTAAACCCAAACCTAGCCCAGTATGCGTACTAATACTCGCTCTTGTGTAATTTAGCTCATTGGGGACGAGGATGATACTAAACTTAATTTATCCCAGAGTAGTCTCGCATGGGTTTGCGGGCTGCCACTTCCTTTCCGAATTCCAGAAGGTTTATAGTGGGAATAGTGGTGGTGTAAAAGCTATCCGTCCGGCCTAAGCCTAGATGAGAGCCTGCGAGGTTTGGGACATTGTTATATAGACCGGGATAGCTTATGTGGTTAATATTGCAAAGGATAATGTACATAGCAAAAAGGAGACTTTAACCATCAAAGAACAAAGATACACAGTGACACGGGTATAGCTAAAGAACAAACGCTGCGCACAAGTACGTCGAAGATGGTACGGAGGTTCCGCGTGTATGATCTACAGCTAGGAGAGATGCGGAGAACAGAGTGTATATTGAAAAGCTCCAGGATTCTTCGATCACACATGTCTACATGTAGTACGTGTATGTTGCCTGTTTTCACGATATAAAAATGTATCTCACATGCCTGATTGTTGTTAAGTACATGTAGTTATTGGATCTGGAGTAAAAGAGTCGGACCCAACAAAAAAATCCGGCAAGTACTACTATATGTACAGAGGGAGCCCAGCAACCCGGGGGCTTCGTTGCTACAAGTACATGTACGTACTTTACACCATTCTGGCCTCGAGCCACCCTCATGCGGTATTACCATTGACGCTAGCTTAAAAACGAGAGCCGACTCGTCCACACACAGCCAAAAGCACCAACGAAATGATAGCCAGCATAGGGGTGGTTGAATGGTCTAGCGGTATAGGGGTCTTGCGTTATACAAAAAGCTACGATCGTTCGACCCCCCCTCCGGACCTAGAGTAGGAGATGTAACAGCACTAGGCTGTGAACCCTTTTTGCTGGCGGGACAAAACATTCTTTCTTCCACCCTTTTGTATTCTTCCTGCCTGAGAAACAAAACACTTATTATTCTAGTCTTGATTGTGATTTGAGCGCACTTGTAGTGTGACAATAAAAGGATGTGAGCTAAAAGAACCCCCCAAATCCTACGCCGGGAACATTCACGCCTCAGCGTCAGGTACGGCACAATACGCCAAGCCACCCGAGTGACATCCCATGAATCAATGCATCACTACCTCTCACTCGCTATTCACCACCTGCTACCTGTGCCTTAGGAGCCAAACCGTGCAGAGGCTTCAAAAGATGTGCCATGGCGGCAAGAAAATGATCTTTAACATTTCAAGTCATCTGTTGTAAGACATGGTACCACGATAAAAAAAAGCTAGAAAAAAAACAAAAGATAAGGAAAGGGGGGGGGGGGGGGGGAATGCAATAAAAAAAAATGTAAAACATAACAATTACACCAAGCACATCCAGTACTGTTCATACCCGTCCCATCCATTCCATATCCTCGTATCCGTATCAAGCCCTTAAGTACCGTCGCCCTGCCATGCCACCCGTTACCCTGCCAAGCCCAACCACACACACGGGGTAAAGAAAAATGAGAGCAAGAAACGAACGAAAAAAGAAACCCACAACATAAGCACAAAAAAATTGAAAAGAAAAGAAAAGATAAAAGCACACAAGGAAACGCCAATTCTACACCACAGCTATCAATTTAGTTTAAAAAAAAAAAAGAGCAAATAAGTAAGGTTAGTATAGTAGCATCTCTACAGGTACGCTCTACTGCAGTCCCTCGTCACTATCGTCGTCAAAAGCCTCTACTTCAGCGATTGCCTCGTCTCTAGGACCTCCTGTGTGCCCATGTACACTTGGCTCTGAGTCCGCGACATTGATAACTTTCTTGCCTTGTACCTATTACCCCCGCCAAGGTTATTAGCTCCGAATTCCCCATGTTGGGCAGGATGACCATACCTCACTGACGCCTCGCCGCCATTCTTTCCAGTCTGCTTCGTTCTTTATCAGGAACGCCAAAAGCATGCTGGGGTCCATCTCTTTGAGATGTAGTCTACGTAAGCGGCGTGTATGGCATGTCTCAATCTCTTCGGCAGTGTAATTTTCCGGGTTTTCACGGTGGGGGAGAAGTGGACGGGCTTGATGTGGGTCGAGGTAGAAGAAGGTGTCGCCTTGAACACCGATGAAGTAGTGCGATGATGATGGGCGACCACTGTGGTAGAATATTAATATAGTTAATATAGGATGACAAGGGGAGCAGCGGATATGTACCCAGCAATACCGACGGACTGCGGCATCTGTACGCAGGCCTTTAGAGCTTCCCAGTAAACTGGTGTAACCCGCTCGATGCCGAGACGGATCCCAACAAGGACAAGCGTGGGCTTGAAGACCCCATCGACAATTGCGGCTTTGCGGAAGGCATCTTCGTAGACGTCGCCACCGTCGCGGGTAATATACACGCGGAGGCCGGCGGGCTCGTAGTTATTTGATAGCTCTCTATGGCCTGTTAGACAACCCCTTCCGAAACACATGCCGCATCATTCGGTTGGTGAGCTTACTGGATACACCTCGCAGCCGCCGACGGGCCAAACCACTCTCCCGGGTGCTTCCCACAAGCTTCCTCGCCATGCTTAACGAAGCGATGAATAGAGAATGGGGCCTTCGGGTCGTCTGCAAATAGCGCTAACAGCTTCTTCTCTGCCGCCGGGTTTTGCCCGCGTCGCCAATCTACACACTATTATCAGCTTTCAAATCGGCGGATATAAGATTAAACCACCAAGCAAACACGCACCCCGACCAAGCTGCAGCTCCAGCAGCGTATTCGCAAGCACACACTGCCCTGAGCGTATCATGCACCCCCACCCACTATCGCTAGTAAACCCCGCCGCTTGATTCGGCATTTGACTCCTCAGGTTCGTAATAAACGAGAGGCCCGCGGCGTTATCCGCCGACTTTGCGATGGGCGCAAAGTCGCTGCGATACGTCATCCAGATGCGGGACTCGAAGTCATCCAGAAATGGTTTTGGCCACGACGACTCCCCCTCTGTATCCGTACGTGAAGTGGGAATGGGCGAGTTCAAGATGCCGCTTGTCTCGGCGGAGGGAGGAGGCGCGCCGGGGCACTGCGGAAGGACGCTCGGGTACTCGCGGCCGAGGAGCCAGATGGAGTTCATGGCGTCGGTGTTCTTTGGTTCGGGGTCCCACAGGAATTTTTGGACGAGGCGGTGGATTCCCTCGTTGCTAAAACTGAACATGATCTGTTCGGGGGAGACGGCTGCTTTTTCTAGGTGCAGCAGCAGCAGCAGCAGCGGTTGGGAGAAAAAGGCGAGGAAGAAGGAGAGGGGGTGTTTGGAATGGATCGAAGGTCTGCTGCAGATGTAGGGTGTTTGGTGAGATGTTGGTGGCCGATGAGTAAAGTAGGAGGGAAAGAAGGGGGGGGGGGGGTGGAGTGTGGAGTGTGGGGGGGATAGCTGACTGGAAGTTGAGTTGAGAGGGGGGAAGGGGCTGGGAGAGACGTGTTCTGTCTGTAATTTTTTGTAGATGAAGCTGCGGGTAGTGTAGCTCCTTCTGTCACTTACTTTGAACTCTAGACTCTCTTCTTCACCTTCAAAGTCTACGGGCACAGCAGCAGTAGTAGCATGCAATACCGAGAAGTAATCGTTGTGCGAGAAACACAGTAGACAGAAGGGGTTGGTTTGGTTGGGTCTGGATGGCTACAGAGTATGATATGTACGGATAGCTGTGTAACTTCAGAGTAACTACTCCAGAGCTTCAGTCTGCTCTGCGATGGTGAGTGATGCTGGATGCGCCGTTGACGCGAGTGAAGAGAGCCAAGACCCGGGGAGCGAAGAGAGGGGCGAGGGGCGATTGTGATGTCAGATACACCTATCTGGGTACAGTCCCGCGATGCTGTTGCTACTCTAAGTCGGGTACATGTATCTATCTCCCACAGCAGGTAGGGCAGACAGAGCACGGTTCACAAGACGAATGAACGTGGACAGCAATAGCAGCAGTTGTGTGTTTCACGAGGGAGGTTGGTCTCGTTACCGGGGGGTCCCAGTCAAGTCCCGTGTTGTTTTCTGCGCAAAACTGCTTTAGCATCTATGTACTCGTAATTGAGTTTCTGAAATGCTGGCAGAGATTGGATCAAAATCGCAGCTGGTCCAGTTCTCAAAATGGCTCATGTTCATCACGATGACTCTGCTCGGAGACACACTCTTCTCCTTCCTGGTGGTACCTTGAAGCTCCTCGGGCCCCACCCTAAATCCCTGCCAGAGCTTCCACCCTTGCTGTTCCGCCAGCCTCGTTAGTTATCGATTGATCTGATAAGATTGTTCATTGATTGTTAGTGTTACGTACCTGCTGCTAGCTTTCTGCGTATATTCCATCACGCAGTACCAGACCAACTCAAAGCCCGCAATCATGTTGTGGTTTCAATTGCAAATACGCATCCAATAATCTCGATAACATTACCTGTAGCACCTCATATTAAAAAGAAAAAGGGCATCTGAAAAAAAGCTGGATGCCTAATAATTTCTGCCCCATTTCTCCGCGCACGCAAACTCATGCACTCTCCTTCAATTCAGGCAACCGCGCAGCAAGCAAGTACCGCTCCTCCCGCGGCCTGCCCTCTTGATAAGATAAGGGGGGTGTAAGAAAGAAAAAGGCGGGACAAAACCTGCCTGCTTATGTGAGAACCTACCATACCATGACGACCCACCCCCCGTCCCTTCATCTTCCCACCCAGCTATTTCATATCCCACCTTTCGCCCTTTCATCACCACACATCCCATTGAGCACTGGTCTCAACCCATTCTCAACACCCAATGGTCCACCGGGGACGTGGAGCAAATAAATTTCGCGGCGGCGGCGATGCCAGCGGCCGTGGAGGCGGCGGTGGTAGAGGTAACAGAGGTGGAGGCGGCGGTGGTAGAGGTAACAGAGGTGGCGGCGGTAGAGGTCGTGGCGGCGGCCGTGGAGGCTTCTTCCGAATGGCTGGTACATCTTAACCCTCCTCCATTCCCTGACCCCCATACCAGTAGGCTAAGTAGTAGCAGGAGACGAAAATCACAGCTTCTCACTAGCAGACGAGGCCAAAAACACAGAACGGCACCATGGAAACTATTCTGGGGGCTCACTACGACA